CCTAAGGTATCTATATGGTCTATTTCTAGAGTTTTTTGTGGTTTACATGCCCTCCCACTTTAAAGACCTAATTAATGGCATGGAGGCCCAGTGACACCCACCACACAATTGTGTGAAGAACGGAAGCTTGAGGGTTAGATCAGAGTTTAGATTCTGTCTTGGCCACATACTAGCTAAGAAGGTTTGAACAAATCCTTCACATTGTAAGATGTAAGCATGAGAGTTAAGACCTGGACGACCCATGGTAAAGTTGGTATGAAGCATTTTCTGTATAACTTCAGTGCAGTCAGTTAATATTGAATCTTCAGCATATCTCCAACTAGAATAATTGCTCAAATTGTAAGGAATTTGAGCCTTGGAGATATTCAAGACGTAGGCCAAGGTTTTGGAGGTATATGAGGGATTGACACTGGGTTTCAAGGCGAAGCCTGCGATCTGAGATCCTGACAGCAGCTACATAGGGATGTAAAAATAAATGCATGAAAGCTGACTTCCTGCGCCCATCAGGGACGCTGCCATTCTAGCACTGCTGTTTATGTAATGAGTGACAGATGAGCATACACGTTAATTATATTTGTAAATATATTAGTACATTTACATATCACACCATCTATGATTCTACAGTTTATTATAAAATGATACAAATGAGTTGATTACATTATTGTCTTCAGTGAAAAGTTCTCTAACTTTAGAGTCAGAGGGTCTGATGTAAGTCTTGCCTCTGTTGCTTCTTAGAGACCTCCCAACAGGCCGGTCACTTGCATAAACCATTCACTTTATGCACAGGCATGCCTTAGTCCACTAGAGCCACACATTGTTCTTTTGTTCTGACTCTGCTGTTGCTTACTAATTCTCACCGCGGCCCAATGGAGCAAGTGGCATTATCCCTTCATTTTGCATGTAAGAAAAGAAAGGTGCAGGATGGCTAAGTTACTCATAGCTGATGGCATAGCTGGAAGTGGTCGACATTAGTAGATCATGATTTGTCTTCCGTTTGAAAGGAAAAAGAAACTGGAGCTCCTGGCGTACTTGACATTGTGCTTTCCCGAAGCAGCACCTGTGTAACTGGGGCAATGGGAGTTGCAGAAGCCAGGGTACTGTGTCTGCTACAGTACTGTGGAGAGTTAGGAGGAGTGGACTTGTGGAATTAAATGTATAATGTCAACATTTGTACAACTAAATTATTGCTGCTTTTCATTCCCGTGCTTCTTGGGAGGTAACAAATGCCTTAAGGACCCATCCCTAATTCTTTTCTTTGAAAATTCCTTTAGAGAAACAGTATGCTTTGGCAATCACATTTTAAACATAATACTGTAATTTCCAGAGAGAGAGAGAGAAAGAGAAACAATCAAAGATTCTCCCACAGTATGAGAATCCTAGACACAATAACATGCCATCCCTGTCTGTTCCCTAGGGGAGCTTATTTCAGAGGCAGGAACTTAGGGAGTGACTCTGGTGAACTGCCTTGACCCCCTTTGTCTGTGTCTGGAGCAAGTCTGGGGTATTTGGAGGGTGTGCAATTGGTCACCAAGTTCCGCGGGTCTTTGTGCTGCCCGAGTGAAGACAGCAACTGAATTCCTTCACAGCTACAAATTGGAACGGTGCAACCATTTTGTAGAAGAGTGGGCACTCAACACTTGATGTTAGGCTGTCACCTCAGATGGATGTGGGAAAGGAAAAAAAAAAATACAAAACAAACCCCACAAAATACCACAAAAGGTCAACTTTAGTTCTTTGGGTGCATGTTTTTCCTGGACAAATGCCCCCTCTGGTGGCCAGAGAGTAGAATACAAAAGATTAGAAATTAACTGGGAGGACAGCCATTCCGAAGGAGCAGGCATGGGATAAGTATAGTACCCAGAAGAAGCAGGCATGAGGTACAGTATAGTACCCAGAAGGAATAGTCATACAGCACAGTATAATATCCAGAAGGAGCAGGCATAGGGCACAGGATAGAACCCCGAAGGAACAGACTCGCGGTACAGAATGGTAGGTTATTTGCACGTGTTTTGGGAATATCTTCTGGCTCATGAAAAAAAAAAAAAAACTCTTCTGAAGCACAAGACAGCAAAGCAAGAAAGGGAGAAGGAAAAGAGGAAGGACAGGAAAGAAGAAGGAAGGAAAGAGGGAAAGGACTAGAGGAAAGAAGAGATTAACAAACCAAACCAAAGCCCGTTTATTTCCACAGAACATCCCGGTTTAGCTCACTCCTCCTTCAGGAAGTCTTTCTCCAGTTACCAAAATGGTATGCTAATCCCCCCTAGACAGCCCAATACAGAAAACAACAGAACGGGAGTGACTTAGTGAGATCCTGTTCAGGACAAGGGCCTGTCCTAGCTGCAAAGGTAGGCTTAATTAGGGAATTGAGTGAAAAAGCACAAACCCAGTGACTTTCTGTGGGAAACTGCAATAGATGGCCCCGGGAAAACATAAAGACTGTTCTATCCAAATTTGTGTCTTCAAACTTTCTCACTGATTCATACTTGTTGAACACAGTGTTGAGTTTCATAAAGACAATTTTGACCATATTCACATCTTTTTCTATCCTTTCTTTCCCTTCGTGCCTTCTCTTACTGCCACCCCTTCCTTCCCTAGTCTCCTTTCCACTGTTATATACATATACATGTTTCTATGCATCTATCAGGAATCTGGCCTCAACAAATGTTAGAAAACATATTCATTCAGTTCTTAAAGACAGTGAAGGCTAAGGTACATCTTGAATTGTACGACTTATGTAGGTAAGGGGGAAATGAGAGAGAATTCCTGGCCAGGAGAAGCATAAGTAAAGTCTAGAGCAGGAATCTGACTCAAAGCCTGTGCAGTTATCAGACCCTCAAACCTGCCAAGGCTTTTCACCGCATCAGATTGCAAGTTCTGTGACATCTCACTCAGGGCTTCTGGGACATAGACTATGATCCATGTAGAAGCTCGTGTAGAACATACCTGCTCCAGGTACTGTGTCGTCATCTGGTAGCTCTCCAAAGCAGAGCGTGGGGGATAAAGGGCTAGGAACAAGGAAGCAAGATTAGGATGAGGGTAGCGAGCACCGGGTACATTCATCTGAAAGGGGAGCTAAGAACCTTAGCTCTTTTCAGACGTCTGTAAATCCCGCCTTGGTCTCCTCTTAAGTATGCCCGTAGCAAGACAGCATAAATTGGAGGTTTCAGGAGAGTGACAAGTGAAGATATGTGCTTCTTATTCTTGATGTTGAACTTACTTCACAAACTTATACCGTTAATCTTAATTTATCTCACCCTGCTTTTATAAAAAGGTTACGAGTTGAGTTATAATTTTTAGAAAAAAACAACTCAGGCAGAGCACAAAGTAAATGTTTTTCTTAAAAATGCAGTTTGTTTTATTTTTCATAGAAACTAAAACACCAGAGTTCATCGATTGCTATATTAAATACATACATTATAAAATAACCATTCATAAAACTTTACATACAGTAAATGGATTCCTGTCTCTATGGTGATGCATACAGTACATGGACACTTCCCGTGAACTTCAGATAATCACTCTGCTGCAACCAGTCACGTTCTGCCTCTCATCAGTCAGCAGTGAAGCAGCCCACAGCGTCATGCGATGAGACAAGAAACACCCTGACTAATTAATTAATGCAGGTGATGCGGGAATGCTTTGGAAACAGGCCCCCTGGCTACACTAACTCAGTAGCCACACAAGGAACTGCGGAGTCAAACCTGTTCGCTCTAGACTCAAGTCCCCACAGATTTAGACACCGCAGGTTAGATCATGCACAAAAGCTTATTGAGATGTAAGTTCAGTTGGTAAAAACATAGGACCTTTGACCGATATTAATACTGTAAACTGTGCTGGGGATGTTTCTCTTGAGATTCTAGGAACAAAACTTTCCGGTTTGGGGGCCTAGGTCATTGAAAATTCACAGGCAACGGAAAATAGTGGTAATGGGTGGAAGGTGGATCAGCCAAGCCAAGAGAGGCAACCAAGGAAGGGTGAGTATAGACACCATATGCTAAACAAAACCAAGTTGCTGAGCAACATCAGAAAAGCATCTTCTTTAGATCCTCTGTCCAGGTCTGAAGTACATATCTGTTAATGCCCGCACCATCATACTGGGTACAGAATACATATGTGTGACTATGTACATCTCATATTTATAAGTGTTTGGATGTTGATCTGCCTTACTGTGGGGAGATGGTACAGTTAGTAGGGTAAATAGGCACATTTTGTGAGGTGTCTGTCAAACTTAAGTGGCTGCAGTTTCTAACAGGTTCTAGATTTGCTTCTGATTAGAAAATTAGAGAATTCATTCTTTAGTAAGTAACCAGAGTCTTCACTGTGGGCAAAGAGGACTCAACATTGTTTGCCTGCTCCACTGCCATCCTGTAGGACTGTATATAGCAAAAATGGAAATATGATTTTGGTCCAAAAAATCAAAATAGGACCATAACACCTCATAAAATCAATCATTTGTACCTCTGGATTTGACACATTAGATTGAATGTAGTAAATTATGATCCATTCTCTTGTACTGCCCCTTTACATATATCTTTTAAAATTCAAGTGAAGAATTGGACTCAGGCTCTCCAAGCAATAGAAGATTTATGTAGGAAGAACTCAACTACTAAAGTCAGGGATGGACTGGAAAACGCCCTGCTCAGCTCTGATATGGTATAATAGAATTTGGTCCTTGAAGAGGCATCCTGAGGATCAACCCCATTCTCCCATCAAGCTGAGTCCTTCTGTAGATATGTCTGGAATCAACTCTTTAGGCAGTTTTCTATATGGGAATTATAAAGTAGTCAGGAAGGAGAGATCTTTCTCCTATGACCATTTTCCCATCTAGAACAGAAGTCCATGGGAAGACATGCTTATGCCGTAAACAGTCCTCTAAGATCTACTTCCACACTGGATGGTGGAGTGTGCCTTTAATCCCAGCACTTGGGAGGCAAAGGCAGGCAGATTTCTGTGAGTTCGAGGTCAGCCTGGTCTTCAGAGCAAGTTCCAAGACTGCCAAGAAACCCTGTCTCAGAAAACAAAGCAAAGCAAACAACAAAAAGAACTACTTTCATTACTGATATTTCGAAAGTATACTTTTTCCACATAGTAGGTCAGATTGAATCCCTAAAACCTGTTGTGTTACCAGGGCAAGGATCTGGTGAGATATGGCTCTGTGCTGTCTAGAACACTCAAGCACCTGGGCTCAACCTCTAGCACCACCGTAAAAAAATAAAACAGAAAGAGGGTGGTGAGGAAAGGGTGGAGAGAGAGGGCAGTTAAATTATCACAAAAGCAATGTAATTTCCAAATGACATCATTGATTCCTACAATCCTTATTCCAGGACACACACTTGTGTGTGTCTGTGTGTTCAATTCCACTCTTTGACAGATAAAAAGAACTCAACTATAAGTTTAATATAGAGTACATTGGTCATCTTCTTTGATGTAACATTGCAGCGATGGTCCAGTTATTTAAATATCAACACATAACCAACAGATATTCTTTTTACAGTTTCTATGAAAACCCAAGTAGGTTAAAACATTTTAAAATAAGGTGCTTTTCAATTACATTGAAAATTTGAGCATACACATTTTACAGTGTGTTCATAGAAAAAGTTAACAATACACAGGCAGAAGAAAAATTGGGCAAGGTGTATTTAAAGTAAATAATAAAAAATAGACAGGTTGAAATAAAATACTGCAGCACAAATGATTTGGCAAATTTTATTTCTTCTATGGCAAGTGGAGACCCTTCCTGACCCCAGTGATGACTATAACTCCCAAACTGGGAGGAACCAAATCCATACATAAGAAGTTACTTCTAGATTGAAGAAAAAAAATCAAAGGGAAGTGTATTCTTTCGTTCTTAAAACCTTCCTTTTAGCCGCAGTTTAAGTGAGATGATCTAAGTCAAACAGGATTATCACTAGTCTAATTCTTCACCTGCAATAGAAGTTAGATGGCATTGAAAATGAGAAGGCGAAGTTGATGACAGTGTTTTGTAGAATAATTCTCAGAGCGAATCTGTGCAGTTCTTCTCACTCAACGGCATTTCACTATCCTGATGGTGCTAAATTGGGGCTTTTACTTCTTTTGAACTACTCAGTCGGTTTCAAAGAGATGCATACTCGGCTAAGAGAACGTAGGTAAATGAACTCTCATTGTGCTAATTCCCCCTAAATCTCTGGGCAAATGTATCTGCATGGTACAGATACAGAAATTAAAAGAATTGGGTGGGAATTATATTTTTGGAAGAAAATAAGGAAGTCATAGCAGAGCTCTTTATTACTCAAGTTACATTTTTGTCGATTCTGGACATCATATGCAAGGAAGCATTCTGTTTTCATTAACCTGCGAATGAGCAGAACACACAACCACCGTTTTCTCAACACGGCTGTAATTTTAGACGTGGATGGGATCTGTCAAAATATTTAAACTTCCCTAGTCTAAATAGTAGAACATTCACTTTGAAGACATAACCCAAACCTGATAAAGATATCACCATTTAGCTTACAGCCTAGAGAAATTTCCTTGGTATTCTGGATATTAAAGACACACACACACACACACACACACACACACACACACACGTGCGTTTTAGAGACAATCAGCTGCTGCTCTCAGACAGTTCAGTATGGGATTGACACAATTCAAATAACAGCAGGGAAGCAGACATGGACTCTTATTATTATCATTCATCATAATTTAGATGTAGTTCTCTGGTATTAAAATTTACCATCAGGTTCTTGATAGGGAAAGTCAATAGGAGAGGAGGGTGCGTGTTTGGAGCAGATTCAGTACGGATTTTCTCAAGTGGGCCTCATAATGGTAGATGAAGTATCATTAAAGAGGTTTTAAAAAAGCCATTTGTATATTTGTATACATGGCCGAGAGTTAGCTGGGTGGCAGGCACAGTAGAAGTACCCTGTTTCACGTCAACTGCACAATGAACCTGCTAATTGCATTTGATCTGGAACTTACCTTAGTGGCACAAAGAGTCCATGGGATAGTTCTGATTTTTGTGTTTGCATCAAGACACATCATCTGGCATTCCTTGAAAGAAATATTCAGATTTCTCAGTTGCTCTTGCCAACCCTTGATTGCGCGGTCGACTCTCCTGTGATGATGACGGGATCCTGTTTGATGGAGTGTTTATGCAACCAGGAGAGCACAGGAGTTGCTTAGCATTGAAATGACAGTATGAGTCAATCTATTTGCTATAGATGATTCACCATCATGGTTTTGAATCTCACAATTTATTGCTAGTAATGTCTTAGGTAGCTTGATGGGAAAGCTTCAGTAATGCTATGCCGTTTGAACCAAATTCAATAACTATTTCATTATATAGGGAAATCAAACACTATAGCAGTAATAACAGTTGCAAAGCACTTCGTGCTACTTTAAGCACCTCTTGTTCCAGAATTGCAAATAAAACCTTATGAAAAAAAGCATTTAACCCCCATTTTGCAAATGAGGAAACTGAGGCACAGAGAGGTTCAGTGACTGGGCCAAATTCTTGGGTAAGCATTAAAAACAAGGGCAGAAATGTGGGACCCCAGCATTCTGTTTTGTCTTGTAGATTTTTCAGTTGTTCTGGCTTTGAAAACGCCAGCGCTACAACTGAAGAAGAATATGCTCAATTCACATATGGAAGTATTTGTGTAGCATTTCATAGACAGAGTTCCTGGCTCCCTACACACATTCTCTATGCGTGAATTCTAGTCCCAGCAAGAAAACTCTGACTATTTGAAAACTTGAGGTTGTCTTGTTATCTATAGTAAATGAGGTGTAAAATTAGCCTTTCAGGAACATATATTTACTGTCAGTGCTGAATCCAAGACTCAGCAACACGTAACTTATGAGAAGTACGAGTCTTCTATCTGCCTGTGGTAGAGAACCAAAGTGTCAGTAACGCGTTCCCTCTCTCGAGAAAAGTAGACCCATGGTGCCGCTGTTAGCTATCTCAGAAAATAATATTATTGTTCTAAATGACAAGAGTTCAGATTTCTCTGGGTACAGCAGGATATTCAATATCCACAGCCCTCTGGCAAACGCGATTGTTGGTATTGACTTATCACCTCTACGATGTCACCCACGTCGGAGAGCGTTTTCATCTGCAGGCAATTTAAACTTGAAACTGGAGGATTCAGAGGCGCCCTCTGGCCCTAGTTCCCTATAGCTCTGGATGCTCTAAACAGAGCTAAGTTGGGGAGTTTGTGACTTGTGGGTATAATCTTCATCTTTTTCAATATGGATGAGACCAGTCCATCCACAGTGGAGAAATGCGGGGGTGTGATGTCAGGAAGCATCAAGTTTCCGTTTGCATCCCATGTTACACACCCCAGAGTCACTGGACTTGGTCGCTTGTAGCATAACTGGGATCTGCTTCTGATCCCCAATTCCACCTTTAGGAGAAACAAAATGGAGAGCGTTTTTCTTCCATCCGCATCACAGATGTCTCTGTTCCTGAGTTTAAAACAATCGTAAGGACAGAAAAAGCAAATCCCTGGAGTAACAAACCAGACTTTTCAAATGAAACCTTTTATTGTAAATAGCTCCTCATAGCTATGCCTCCTGCTTCACTCCCCACCCACCCTCGATTTTTTTCTTATGTTTGCTTTGTTTTTTTAAAATGATGTTTATTTTCAGGAATAGTGTTTCCATGGGGTGTGGTGTTACATTAAAATGACCCCCCCTGCACAGCAGGAGTTGAATGTTTCATTGTAACTTTGGTTCCATGCCCAAGACACATCTTCTCTTGATCTGCTGAAACTGGTTCCACTGCTGAATTTTTCCTTCACACAATATATGTTTATAGTTCTCTTCTTCTGGTTCAACATACATACGTTTCATTAAATGCAGCATATAATGTAGATTTTTCAACAGGGTCATTATAAACTGTCAAGTAAGAAACCTTGAATAATGGCTTTAAAGCACACAGTCTTGGCTACAGGGTAGTTCTTAGCTTTTGATTTCCCTTACATCGGTGTAAACAATTTCGCCATCTTTGAAGGTTTAAAAGCATATGCCTTCTGGGGGTATGATCTGTGTTCTTGAATTTTCTGTAAGACAGAGGAAAATAATTTACCAACCATCATCTATGTTAACAGATAAGTAAGAAAAAAGCAAACTCTTACACAAGACAAGTTTTGTTCAATTTCTGGCACCAGAACCAAACCATACTTTAAAAAATAAAGATAACAACATTATTATTTTTGTCTATGCTTTGAGCTGAATGCTTTTTGGAAAATCATATATCTCTAGGCTTAGTTGCTTTAAGAGAGAAAAAAGAATTATTTACTCCATGATTTATTGAAATAAGTTACATACAAAGGAATAACAGTTTTTATAGTTAGAGCCTCCTGGATATGTTAGCTATTATCATTATTGCCAGATACTGTTTTAGAAGCTATGCTATCTACAACTTTCTGTGATTTACTTTTATGTCACGCCTGCTCTTCTACAACTACAGCCGCTGGCATGGTTTCTCACCCCAGAGACTGTGGAAGAACTTCCTGAAGACCCTGCAGTACAGATTTTGTAGTTGATTCTGAGATGTCTCTCAAAGTGTGCTGTGACCACGGGGCTCCCTCCCTGCTCTTAGTATTACCGTCTGGACTTTCACTGAAATGGAACGCTCCTTTATAATGTCCTCTCTTCCAATGACAACCAGAGGTGGTGGAAGAGGACACACTACTGTACCTTGTTTAAGGACATTCACTCTGAATGACATGGATAGAGAAAAAAGTTCTCTGTTGTTGCGACAAGCGATTCAGCTTCCCTAAGCTGCATGATTAATCTAAGTAAATAATGAAAACATTGACTCTGTAGAAAGATTATGCTACTGCCCCAGAAATGTTGAGCAAGGTCCAAACTGACAGATCAGGAGGTGTTTGTTTCTCGATCACATTTTCAAACCACCACGTGGAGGCACATTAAACAGACAAACTCTTGCTGCAGGTACAAGTTAGACGTATCTGTAATATATGTTGTGTAAACGTTTTGCTCTAAAGAATAGGATGGTGAGTGTACTCACAGAGCAGGGTATGGCAAAGGTGTACAGCGAATGAAGGGTAGACGTTATGATGAGAGAGGACATGGAAGATGGGCAGGTAGGTAAAAGTACTCGCTGCATAAACCAAATGACCCGAGTTTGGATCCCCAGAACCCATAAAAAGCTAGATGTTGTGGTATATATGAATGTAAACACAGCACTTCTATAATGATATGAAAGGTGGAGGCAGGAGAATTATCTGGAATCTTATAGATCACCTAGGCTGGAGTACATAGTACAGCAGCAGAAGAAAGACTTTGCCTCATCAATGTGAAAAGAAAGAACCAACGTCTACATACATATGAAATAGACAAATGAATGACTAAATCGACAAATAATAAAAGAGAATACTCTGGGGGATGGGGCATTGCCAAGAGGCATTAAAGGCTTTGTGGTGTGTACACAGGCAGAGACCTGTCTTCTGTATACATACTTCTTTCTCTTCTTTTGTTTCTCAGAGGAGAGAATTGGAGTGGGATGAGAGTAGAGGTGGGGGCAGAAGTGTAATTATCTCTGCTTATGCTTCAAGAAAAGATGCAAGCAAGAAGCTGTGGGCTAGAGCCACTGATGGGAGCGAGAACAACACTGGAGAAGGTTGGGCCTCAGATAGGCTGAGACTAGGACACTGGACCTTCTTGGAGTGGCCCTTTGAAGAGCTCATGCATGTTTGCTGCATATTCTCGGGATGGCCAATCTGTTGTTACTTTGCCAAGAAAAGACTTCAAAGACCTTGCCAATCACAGTCAGGGAAACTGTGACAATCACTCAGAAGCAGTTTCTCTCTTCTTATGCTCCTTTCTCCTCTTAATAAACTCTGAGTTCTGAGCTCTGATGGAAGGTATGAGATCTACAGCCAAACCACAAACCAGTTCCTCTTTGGGGTATCTTACTTTGCTAAGACAGAATAAGAAAAGACATGAGATTAAATCAAATACGAGAGTGAAGTTTTAAACTGAGCAAGAGTTTCAGGTACTAGAAGTGAATGGGAAGTGGGGGAATATATTGAAGAATTATTTGAAGGATGAGGAAAGGAAATGAGACTGAACTGAAAAAATGAGACTCAATTCACATTCACACACTGCCACCACCATGAGAGCTTAGCTGCATCCTCGGGGCCAGACATCTCCCTGGAAGACCCAGATTTTATTCCCAGCACTCGTGTGGTGGTGGCTCACAACCACCTATAACAGTTTCGGGAGACCCAATGCCCTCTTCTGGCTTCTGTGAACACTGCACATATGTGGTGCACAGATACACATGCAGGCAAAAATATTCATACACATAAGATAGATACAATAATATTTTTTTTAAAAAAGAATAACATTCTTCACTCTCTGGCAAAGAGATCTCATCCAAACCTATACAACAATGTTTTAGAGAGATGTTTATGTATCTGTATACATAAAATAAATATATTCCCTTTCAAAGGCATTTACTTGCAAACTTTCAGTTTATATTCTATGAGAAATTCCATCATATATTCTGGATCATCATTTCTTTTCTGTTTAATTTTGGCCATGACTGACCTTGTACTCATAATCTTTCTGCTCTCATGGTCCCAGTGTTGGGAGTGTAGCTCTCTGTCACCACAAAAGGCTCTTGTTTTTGACTATTAGAGTTATCTAGACAATGCTTGTAGTTAGAACATGTTAGGTTTTAGAACCAATTAGTTTATAATCATTTCTTAGGATTTTACATTTTTTTTAAATTAAGGAGTACCTTTAAAGGAAATTATTATTGCTATTGTGAGGCCAGTGGCATTCAACCTGAGTAACTTCGATTATCATGCTGTGGATCAGAGATTCTTTTAAGCAAGTACTTCCAGAGGCAGACTTTTACCTTCCTTCTCTGAGCTAGCTTGCAGCTATCATTCTGAAACCTTCCATGATACCAGGCTCTGAACCAAGAGCATGTCACCCTTGATCTGTGACTTTATAATTTTCAAATAATATTTTTATTGATTAAGATTTTCATAAAATATATTTTGATAATATTTACTTTAATCCTCCAGCTCCATACCAACTCCATCCTTCTGTGCCAACTCTGTTGCCTGCCTCCCTCACTTTTGTTCTCAAGTACCTTTTTAAACCCACAGAGTCTAATTGGTCCTGCTCTTGGATGGTGTCTTTCCGGGGGAGTGAGGTTGACCTACCCTGGATCACACCCTCAAAGAAAACTGCCTCTCTTTCAGCAGCTCTCATCTATCAAAGACTGTAATATCTTAAAGGAATGTCCATTCCACCAGCCACCCCATTGGAAACCCAGGGACAGCTCCCACACTTTCCATTCCTTCAGAACTTCAATGCAATTTATCATTCAATAAATTCATGTGGAATCCAATAAAAGATACCTGTTGCTATCTCTGTTTTACTGATAAAGAAAACGGCATTGGGAATTGTTAAGCAACTGACTTGTGGGAGTATGAATGTGAGAACATACAATATGAAACGAGTCCTAATTGAAGCCAGAAGGTAGAGGCTTTCTCTACTGACATGGGAGGTGAACCCATAATGGACTGGATTTTTATCCCAGAAAAGGCCTGAGGGAACTGAGTGAGTCTTTATGTCATTCTGTTTCTTCTCTTTCATGCAGACATAGTGTCTCTTCCAGAACACAGAGCAACGTGTCATCTGGGAAGCAGAAGCTGAGTCTTCACCAGATGTAGACCCTGACAATGGCTGGATGTAGACTCCTTAACCTCCAAACTGTGAAAAATGACTCTAATATTTGTAAATCACCCAGTCTGGGTAGTATTTTATGGAACAGAAGATCTACAAAATAATAAAGTATAATAAGGGAATAGCATTCATTTTACAGGACTTTTATTAGTGCTACATAAAAATATGGTTGTGACTCCCCAGTACCCCTTTTCAGCTGAGACTGAAGATTGAAATCAGGGTGCTATAAATGCTTGGATAATGTATTTTTAGCAACTACCCAGGATCACTTACAGTACTGCTCAAAGAAAATATGTATGACCATAAATCACTTTCTCTAAACAATGTAAGTCTTTATATGTAAGTTAGTTTTAGGCTTATGACCAGAATTATTGATTTAGTATATACAAATTATCTGTAGTATGCTTTTACTATCTGTGAACAATATTATCACTTTTCTTCCCTCTATCCTTATCTAAATTGCTTTGCAGATGCAAATGACATCATTCAGTTTTGAGTGGTGTTGGCTTTTCAAAAGTTAATCGAGATAAGATTACTTTCTGAAGAGACATCTTCTTGTTTGGATTTATGTTATGCTTCCTTGGAAATAACTGAAAGTTACACTTTCATATTCATATTACAAAAATTAATGAATGTGATAACTAACTTGAAAAATAATAGTAGCTAGCTAAGAATTGCAATTATTTAATTACTTTGCAGGCAATTTGGTAAGTATTTTTCATGTGTGACAACATTCAATTCTCTCAACACATCACCATGCTATGGGTAAATACTTAAAGAGTTACGTAGGTTAAATAAGTTGCCTACTGTCACACTTCTCATTGGCAGAATTCACATTATCATCGATGTCTGTAATTCTCAACCACTGACATTTTGCTTGCATACATTTTATACTGACCAGAGTTGTTATCACACTCATTTGCTATTGAGTTTCTACACTGGACCTTCATTCTAGAGAGAAAGACGAAGTATCAATTATGCGCTTCTTTGAAGCACAAAGCCAATCTTGAGCGTCTCCAGGAACCTCCAGAAACTTAGCAGAAACCACAGAGGTGACACAGTGTGATTTTCCAAGCCAATGACTGGTGACACACGAGACAGCAGTAAAAGCTACACCTGTATGACAATGATCCTTTGGGATGCAGTAGAGATGTCCTGCTCTTTGCTGATTCAACTGACTGAGGTGCGAGGTTTGTGGGTGCAGTCCCTGCTCCTGCTGAGCACAGCTGCATGGGAGTGGACAGTCGCTCAATGCCATGTTTCTAACTGTAAAATGGAAATGAACACAAGACTAACCTTGGAGAGTGGTTGACGGGGGTTAAAAGCACTTGGTGCTCAGAATAACTCCCCGTACACGACAGCATGAGTGTTAGTGACACTGACATTTCCTCCCTTCCTAGCTGATATTTATGAGATCTAGTTTGTCTTTCCTAAGTTTGCCATGCAGCATCGCCACTTTAATAATTTTACAGACTCTGTGTTTTTGAGGGGTCACTGTTTGCTGACATCGTGGTCCTGTGAGTGCTGTACTAGCGTCTTCTTCCTTCACATCCTATGCTCGCCCTTCCTCCAGGAGGCTCAGTCTTCTTAGTGTGTGTCAAAATTGTCACCAGGCCAAAGATAGTTTTCGGACTATAGAGAAAATCTTTTGGAAGAAGAAACACAGCCGGAGGATGGATAATAAAAGGACGTAAACTTTCTAGGCCCTTTTGTTTCACTCTCTCCACTTCAGGTCATGCTAAAGCTTTCTTACTTGTTTGTTTCGCAGGGAGGCAATGAAGTTGACATTCATGGAGAGGGAAAGAGTCTCTCTTCTATCTTTCTGCTTGCTAGAAGAATAATAACTAATATGAAGCCTAGAAGGGAACTCTGTATGATGTAATTTCGCAGAATAATCAAAGTCGAAGTGGTCCATGGAAATATATTTAGAATGGCCTTTTATAAACAGTAGTTTTGAGATTTGTGGTTTCCATTGCCGATTGGACAGCAGCACCACCTGCGATGCCGTGAGACACAGACCAGGCCCTGCTCTCTATCACCCCCACCTCCCATCAACCCTCTCAGCTCAAGTGGTCTGGCTCGTGAAGTGCCCGACAAGGCTTCTGTGCCTGTTTATTTTCAGCACCGAGAACCACAAGCTAGAATAGTGATGCACGTGCTCATCAGATGCCGGTTTGGTAATGACCACGACATAACTGCATTTTTTTTCCTTGAATTAATGCTGAAAAGTGTCTTGTTTTAAAACAGGATCCATGTTCACTTAATACCATGCTTTCCTGACATCTGATGTGGAAGGATTGGGACAGAGTTGCAATAGTGGTTCATAATTGGTTTCTCTGAGTCTTGGAATCGGCATGGGGGGGAATATTAAAGGCCCAGTGATGTTTTCTCATGTGGTAGATACAGGCACACAACTCCTTCTGGGTGATAGACAACCACAATGAGAACACTAAGATTCACAGACTTTGTGACTTCTTAAGGCAATATAGCTAAACTGAAAACATCAGTTTTACACCATACAACTTTAAGTTTTAAAAACAGTCAACCTGCATTGGACCCATTTCCCATTTTGTGGCGAACTAAACAAACTATTTGGTTTGGAAAAGACATGTGATCCAGTAACAACATGTAACCTCATTCTTATCTGCTACCTCTGAGAGCCACGGTGTTGAGTTAAAAGGAGTCTTACCTTTAAGAGGCACCTTGACATCAAGGCCATAGAATGAAGGCAAGAGAGAAGAACAAGAATAGAAACAGAAACTGCAGAAAAAAAAGAAGGAGATTATGTAAATCTGAGCTTCCATCAGCATTCAGGTAAGCACAAAACCTCAGCTTTCCATATTCCCTCATAAAAACAAACCAAAACCGCCCTGCATTCACCTATTGCCATACATTTTAGAATTAATGTCAGGGGATTCTCACTGACAATTTTTCTAGGCTTTAGGCCTTTGGCCTAGGCTTTAGGCTTTAGGCCTAAATTTCACACATGAGAAAAACTAAGAGTAGAGTTAGTAAAGGATCATTCTAACCCCATACTGTCTTGGAGCACAATGAGAATTTTGTACTTTACTGTGCGCACAGTCTCTCTCGTTCAGGGATGTGAGGGTATTTCAGAACTGTAATCAGAGATATGTGCTTATTAAGAGGACCACAACATTTGCCGTGTCTCCCTCGTGGAATCCTTACAAAAAGCACAGGAAACAATAACATTGGAAGCGGTTTGGTCACGTGAAGTGCTGTGTGCAGTGGAGGCTGTTTTGCTTGGTTTGTTGATAACCCCTGATTTACACCAACTGCGTGCATGGAAATGGGCCGCCCTAGCCCAGCAGGGACACGGTGTATGCTCTGAGCAGCCTTTCAAGGCTTGCAAGGGGCAAATGAAGAGAACACTGACCCTTAGCTGTTTCAGTAGGCTGGAAGGCAGTAGGGAGTGAAGTCACATGAGCAGGACACCCAGTGTGACCCTCATCTCCCGTTCTATCCTCTCAAGAGTCAACCAGCTTGTTATTTAAGTAGCTCCGTTCTCTACCTTAAGACGATATTCAGCACAAATTATTGCATTACTTCATTATCATAGACATCTAGGAAGTTCAGGTCTATAAATATTATGGGACAAAATGGTGGGGAAACATCCTCATTAAATTCTGACAGCTGATACGGTCTTAGTGCCTCGTCTCCCCAAATTTCCACAGGATTTATTTAGGTAGGTGCTGGGGTGGCCACCCAAATCTCTCCACTTTTGGAAGCCTCCCTTGAAGGGGACTAAATAGCATCCCGAAGTTTCTTCACAGAATTGTTTCAACTGTATCTTCCTGTTTGAGTCAGAACAAGGGGATTAACAGCAAGGCAGACCAGACTGGGCCATTCCAAAATGTCAGAAATAGATGACACAAGGTGTGCTCTCCAGCAAGCAGGAACACAGGGAGCTGCCCCTGTCTCCCGTGGAGCTTTCCACCGACTGCAAGGAAACTACATGTAGTGCTTGGGTCACTGTAATTCACCGTGGCCTCACTCAGTCCTGAAGACCTGAATGGTTTGAAATGAGGGACGTTCTGATATAAAATTCTAAGGAGGATGTGTACTTCAAGGATGGGAAAATTTCACAAGACTTTTAAAATGTTTTTCAAGTTTCATGTGTGACTTCATTCCTCATGGAACCCATAAGAGGAAGTCAGTTTGGATGTTGCCACTGCCATTTTATGGACACAAAAGGCGTGTGTGTAGTCACTTACCCAAGGTGACATCAGAAGTGGAAGCTCACCATCTACAAATGTGAGCGCCCAGGGATATAGCTTCCAGACTGGACTAACTCCTGACCTCACATACATGGACCAGGACACATGCATTTTTGGAGGAGCTCAGTTCTAGCTATAGTCTCACAAATGCCAGATCGTTTGCTGTGGTCTTCTTGAATCCCATGGAAGTTACAGCCAAACAATCTATTTCAACCCTGGGGTTTGGGGCGCTACTTCCAGTTAGGGAGGTAGGTACATGAGAGAGAACTCTGCTGTCTTTCTGCATTCCCAGGCCTGTCACGTAGGACAGGCAATTGCACCAGACAGAGCCATTTCTCCTCTATCAACACTCAATCGCTTCCATGTGTCGTGTCCTCTTTAGAACACTATTCTTTAGTTTCACCAAGCACAGGACCTCTTGAAAGAAATTTCTCTTTCTTTTTTTTAATTTTTATTTATTTATTTTATTTGTGGGGATGTGGGATGGAAGGTTTCAAGACAAAGGTTTCTCTGTGTATTCCTGACTGTCCTGGAACTCACTCTATAGACGGTTTTTGAACTAAGTGTTAAAGTGAAGCTGAAGCCCGGGCTGAAAGAGATTTTTTTTTTTTTATAAATAATGGGAAATGTTTGTGTGTTTGATTTTTATTTTAAATGTAATGTTTGAAAGAAAAAGCAAATCAGAGTAATGGACAAAAGTATTGGAAATTCAGATGAAGGCAGAGCGAAGGGAAAAACTACACACGGTGAAAATATCCAGGCTGCTGATGGGACAGCACCCCTCCCCCACAAATCCTGGCATCCTATTCAAGGTGGGCACCACATTCCCCATACCTATGTCTGCCTGTGTCAGACCTAATTACTAAGAAGAGAAAGATAGCAGAGAAGCCAAACAAGCAGGACTTTCAGATTAACAAAAGAGTTAATAGGTACCTTTTCCTCCAAGTCCTTTATCTGCCGTTTTTGAATGTCCGTCTTATCCTCTAGGTCACGGATTCTCTGAATGAATTAGGGAAAACACTGTTAGGTGCTAGGCTGTTGAGGAAATTGTTCACCAAACAAAACATAACATTTCCTGTGAAAACATTGATATTAGTGCCAGCAGACGGAAATAGCACAAATGTACTTTTCCCTACCCACAGGGAAATGCATGGCCCAAGGCTTATCCAGCCCTGTGTTGGGAAAATATTGTCACTGTTAACCTTTTAGAGCTGAGTATTTTCTATTTACTTTAGTTTGTATCTTAGCCACCCCCTCCCCCCACAAAAAAATATGCATGCTATAGGCATGGTCATTAGCCCGTGTGACTGATGGGAGGTAGGGCTTTTCGGAGGTCATTAGGTCATCGAGTATTCCCTTGATGAGGATATTGGGAACTTGATCCCAATCCCCTCTTTGCTTTATAACTGTCTCAGGATGAGCAACTTTCCTCACTCCTGATTCTTCCATGATGAACTGCCCAGATGTAAGGAGCCAGATGGGATCATGGACAGGGACTTCTGGGCGCATGAGCACAGATGAACCGTACTTTTGATTTAAATGGCTTTTGAGAATTTTGTGACCATAACAGTGTACTAACAACCCACCCCTTTCTTACCCTTTGCAGAGGCCTAGCTTAGGTGAGGGGTGTGTCTTCCGCCACACTGCTGCTAGACTTGGCCAGATTACTTTTGCTCTGGGGAATGTGAGCTTATAGGAAGTGTGGGAATGTAACATCCTTGTCAGAGAGCCATATGTCCCAGAACTAGTGAGCATGAAGGGGATGCTTTTGTCAGCCCTTTGGGTTGATATTCTGGTTGCTTATTTGTACAGTAAAAATTGCTGGAACCAACTGTGCAATAGCAGAAAGCCGTTGGCCTTTCTTGTCTCCCTGCTTCAGCCCTGTTTGGGGACGGAATTTCCTCACAAACATGATTGGCCAATCTCAAATGTCAGTGAGAATATGCCTTAATACAACTTCTCAGAAGTAAGCTGATAAGCCGGGGATGAAGCAATTGTAACAAAACAGCATAGCAGTCAGGAATGCAGAAAAGCCTATGTAACCACAACCCACACAGGGAGACCACCCAGACTGGATAATGGCATTACACAGATAACTGTTTGGGAGCAAAAGGAGTCTTCACAATTTTTTCTTGACAATCTAAAGGCTTCTGGTACCCGTGTGCGTTATGATGCATAGCAAGCTTGCTATTTAATGGTCACTGTTTGTATGAGCTAAAACAGTGAACTGGCCCTTCAGCTGGAAGCCTACTAGGGTGATATATGGAGGTTTTTATAATGTAATATGAGGAGAAAAAAATGGAAGCTAAAAGAAAACATATTTCAACATGGAAATCAAGTCTTCTCTCTAAAAAGTGTCAACCACAGGTAATTTTCACCCTCTCCTGGAGGATGGCATTTGGCAATGTCTGATAATTTTTCAAGTTCATTGGTATGCTTATTTTATAACGCATAATTATTTCATGTTTTAGTATAGTAGCAAACGTGCATACCTATCACTAGTGTGTAATTGTGTAAATATTTCTTCCTGTCACAACTGCATTGTAAGATATGTAACAGCTCTTCTGACTTAGTCCCAGCAGAAGCCACTGGGACATATCCCACAGTGCAGGAGACATCCTCCCACCCCAAGGAATTCAGCTTGATCTAGATGATCTGTCTTGTTACTGCCAAGAGGGACAAACCCTGCTGTCAGAGAAAGGAGGTGAGGCTTGTGCTCTAGTTCTCATCATATCTTGGCATGCTGACGAATGATGGAGATGCAGGTGAGCCTGGAATACGGCAGCACTGACATATATGTATGTGTGATGTGTGCTGGCATGTAATTCAGTGGTACAGCATATACTCTAAGGCTACACAACTGAACAATAAATGCACCAGGCATTTCTCTCTTTATGCATGCAATTCCTTGGCCTGGGTCTGCACACCGATATAAATACTGATTAATATTGATTCTGAAAACCATACATCCATGAGAGTGCTGAAGTGCTTATTCAGTCTTCAGCTCTGTGTTTGCTGACCGTTTCCTGTCTATGACTGTACCACGTGTACTGAGGAATACAGCTAAGGCATCAACCAAGTTCTGGTCCCGAAGAGCTACAATGTTCTTTGACAAGATGGGATGTAAAGCGGAGAGTAACAGAATTAAGAAACAAATGTGCGGGGGCTGGAGAGATGGCTCAGAGGTTAAGGATGCTGACTGTTCTTCCAGAGGTTCTGAGTTCAATTCCCAGCAACCACATGGTGGCTCACAACCATCTACAAAGAGATCTGGTGCCCTCTTCTGACATGCAGTCATACATGGAGGCAGCACACTGTATTGTGTACATAATAAATAAAATCTTTAAAAAAAAAGAAACAAATGTGCAAAAGGGTGAAGATGTAAAACACTGTCACCCATCTCCAATTCCTGGGGCTGTGTTAGTCTGTAGACAGACCGTTCCACACTGTAGATGAATCCACTATTCTTCATTACATTTTGTAAGCTTGTTTTTTTTTCTTCCCAAGCCATTTGTCATCCAAACAAGAGGAAACATTGTGAGACCCCAAAACATATTTTCATATCCTCCTTCCCCCACCCCACTATCAGGTACATGAACTCACATTTATTTTTTAATTGGGGCTGGTGACACAGCTTATTATTAGTTCTTCCTGTCTCTTATTTGGTCCATGCTAATCATGTCAAAATCTGTCTTTCCCGTATCAACAAAATATAGCTAACGTGAACTTGAAATATAAACTACTCAGGATGGGGTGTGGCATAGCACCTGCCTAGCATGCATAAGACCTCCAGTACTATTCTTAGCTTCATAAGGTTGGAGAGATGACAGCAATCCTGTGTCTAAGAGGTGGAGAAAGGAAAGGTTAGCTGAGTATAAAACTAAGACCTGGACTCTTGCAAGGTTCCACACTGATCTTTACCCTTTGTGGTCTCCAGCTTCACCTCTTAGCCCAACTCTGTACACATCAGGCATGCCAACTTCTTCTGTAGCTCTCGAATGCACACCAGGGCTTAGTACTTGCTCCTTTTCTGAGATGGTATGGGATTCCCCTCTGTATGCTGTGAATGTTTTATTACTTTTGGTTAATAAAGAAGCTGTTTCTGGAGCTGGCGAGATGGCTCAGTGGTTAAGAGCACTGACTGCTCCTCCAGAGGACCTGGGTTCAATTCCCAGCACCCACATGGCAGCTCACAGCTGTCTGTAACTCCAGTTCAAGAGAATCTGACATCATTATACCAATGTGCATGAAATAAAGTTAAAGTTTTTTTTTTTAAGAAGCTGTTTCAGCCTATGGCAGGACAGAATAATAAAGAAGATGCTTCAGCCTATGGCAGGGCAGAACAAAACCAGGTGGGAAATCTGAACAGAGATATATAGAAAGAGTAGGCAGAGTCAAGGAGACACCATGTACCTGCCAAAGGAGACAGATGCTTGAACCTTATCGGTAGGCCACAGCCTCATGGTAATACATAGATTAAAAGAAATTGGTTAATTTAAGATGTAAGAGTTACTTAATAAGAAGCCTGAGCTTCTTATTAAGGTCAAGCAGTGTTGTATTTAATATAGTTTCTGTGTGATTATTTGGGTCTGGGAAGCCAGAAACGAAAGTGCAATCACCGTCTACACTGGGACCTTTGAGTGACGAGTTCCTGGGTTCCCTGGTTTTCATGGATCTTCAGAAATGTCTTCTGACTACCTGGCCTAACATGCTTAATCCTTTCTGACTCACATGCACATCCATAGACACTGTTGAAGTTTATTCCCAGCACTTAGTGGTTTCCTTAGGGATGGTTCATGCATGGTTCATTTGTGCTGTGACTTTGTCCTTTCTCATCTGTATGGCAGATCCAATGTCTTCAGTAACTGCCATAATCACAGCATCTGGTGCACACCTGGCCCTTAGTACATGACTCTTACTGATTACAAAGCAAGGTTTTAAATGTATTGGTTTAAGAACGTTTTGTTCACTTTGTTCATCCAGAAGAGGATTCTGGAAGTGGTAGACCTTTAGTAGGGACAGGAAAAAAATGAGAATATTTGAATGCCATTTTTGGTGGAAAATTAGTCAAATAAAAGCTCAGGAATAAGAAACCAAGGACAAGTGACACCAGGCTTTGCACTGGAAAGAACTCCTGTGTCTCAAGTCACATCTTAAGGGAGAGATGACCAGCTAATGAAGGACCTCAGGAGATCTACACAGGACTTAAGCCACTTCAAAAGGGAAATTACAGATGCCCTTGGGCAAAAAATTACCATAAGGAAAGGTGAAAAAAAAAAACAGGGCTTACTTACCAAATGGAAGGGAGGAAAGTAGGAAGTTCCTACAGTGATTTCCATGGCCCCTGGGGGCCCATGAGCCTTTGTTAATGCCATTTATCAAAATTCACCAGAATTATTTTCTTTATGCTAACAAGCTCTGTCTTCAAATATTCAGGAGGCCAGTGTCCACAGTGAGTGCTCTAGATATCCAGGACATTGAATCTCCTACTAGGAGATACACTGAAAGGCCTGAACACATGTGTAGATGACAGAGTCAGGTTAGTACCGGGGCACCTGGAAGCCACTCTAATCATGAAAGATCCTGCCAATGCCTGTAAAGGGTGAACAAATAGACCAAGGATACCCATGTCCATGTCCGTTGGATGTGGTGCTACCTAAGTTCCCTGAGGTAGAGGACAGGGAAGGCATAGGCGTTGCAGCCTGAGTGACTGTTGATAAGGCCATTCTGTTGACCCAGAAGATGGGGAGGAGAGATGGAATAAGGACAAAAATGCATATTGTTTTCACTTGGGGACATCTAAGCACAAATGGCTAGCGATGGCCTCTAGAATTTACACATTATAATTACATCACAGTGTCTTTGATACATCCTGGCCAGTGCCTTCTGGAATAATTCTGCTATTAAGCTACTGATTAAAACGGGAGAGGAGAGTAAGAAGTAATTAGAAAAGGTGCATTTAATGTGAACATTTGTTAGAGAGGGGGAAATGTCAGGGAACTCTCTCAACTCAGTCTAATTCACATAAAAAGTGGAATTCTTTCAAGAAAGATATTTTAGTTTACAGATTAAAGAGATACTCAAACTGGTACGCCAGGATTTTATAATAAGCAAATTTAGACAACTATTAGTCCATGCTAAAACAAACACATGTACTTACAAGACAAAGCTCTCAATATGCTAAGCCTGATGAAACACTTTTGCAACATAAAGAATATGAGAAGAAGATCCCTTTATCCCCTAGTAGAAGTGAGACACAAAGAGACAAACAAAAAATTCCCATAAAATAATCTATTGCCAAAAGCTTTGGAAACTTTCCACTGGTCAAACCTTTGTAACCCTGAAGGCTTTCTATAAAAAAAATATAGGTGCTTGTCATCTTTGGGACAAATGACTTGAGCGTTCTGCTGTGTGGGGAACACAGAGCCCCTGGTTCTATCCACACTGTCAGGCTTCCGTGCTTGGCTCTTAGTGGGATCATAAAATAACCACAATTCCGTTTCGACTCCTTAGCTTCAACACATTCTCTGTACCTCCTATGTCTTCCATCAGATTGCCACAGCTGAGGACCAGAGTACTACAACCTGGCACAATGAATTCTGAAATTCTTGTGGGTTTTTTCTCTGAACAGGACTCTCTCTGCTGGTGCCTATTGGTCAAGTCACAACACAAATGAAGAATCCCAAAGATTTTTGGTTGAAAGTTGGTAACGGGTGCCTACTTCTTGGCTTGCCAGTCTAGATGGAGCATATAAGTCACAAAGGCCATAAGCAGCACATGGCAGCAGTGTGCAATGGTTAGCACCTAGGTCTCGGGGGCTGGCGTACCTGGTCTGTGATTTTGTTCTGCTACCTTCTGTCTTGAATGAATCATTTGAATAATTCTGTTCTCAAACTGGGATAATGCAAACACGTACCTCTTAGCACTTTTGTGAAGATGAGCAGAAATGATACAGGTAAAACCTGTACTTTCTTCACAATGTATTTTTATGTATAGGGCGATTTGCCTGCATGTATATCTATTTAGCATTTGCATACCTGATGTCTGAGGATGTCAGAGGGGGCATCAGAGACGTTAGAGTAGTTTCAGACAGGTATGAGCCATCGTGTGAGTGCTAGAAATTAAATCTTTGTCCTTTGGGAAAACAGTCAGTGCTTTTAACCACTGAGCCTCTCTCTGGTGACAAAGACAACCTTCGGATCCTGACTGAACAAATGCCAGGCTGCACAGAGCAGCCTCCAGGCTTCGTTACTTTTGCTGCTTGTTCTGAGAATGAAGAGGCAGACTCTACTCTTCACTCTTTCCAGATATTTGCCTCAGGCTCAGTTACTGACAGGAACAAGTACTGAAGAGCCACTACCCTGTTTCCTCACACAGGTGAGCAATCAGGCTCCGACAGATTAGGAGACCCGTGACAAAGTCATTCTAAAAACTGATAGCCACACGCAGCCCCTCTGAAATGTCATTTTCCTCAAGACCAAGTTTTATTAGCAACCTGTCCCCCTGTATTGAGTGATAGCGGGAATGAGTCACTCATTTTGCTTGCCGACAATCTGAAACTGTCCCGCTCTGACATCGAGGGCTTGTTCCTAAGTCCCATGTGCTCAGGATTGACCGACAGAGGTTCGGGGCTTGATCCTCACCTGGTGTGCTTGCTGTAAGAGCTCCATCCTCTCCTGGAGGATCTGACAGTCGTACTCCCTGCTCTTCCTCAGCATCTGCCGCCGTAACTTTTCAACAGCCGTCCGCAGCTCCTCCTGCTGCTTGTCACTTAACAGTTCACCGAACTTGATCACAGTCTCTTGCTGCAGAGCATTGTACAAGGTAGCCTCTAGCTCCTGGATTCTCTGGCAAATAGAATCAGAGAAGTCTGACTTTGGGACTGAGCATTTGGGTGTGATGCAGGGAGAGTGTGCGTGGATGGGTGAGACAGGAACATGGTATCTCAGACTCAGAGCATTTTAAAGCTTCTGAGTGTCTCCTGCCTGGCTTCCTTCTGGACATCCCCTTTATGAGATGCCGCAAATGTCACCCACACAGTGCACAGGCTGCTCTGTAAGTAAGTTCATTTTCTTTCTTGTAATCCTGTTTGTTTAGATCCTTGTTTTTAGGAGTCCCTCTGTAATAATGATTGCACCTCCACATCTTCTTCCCTGTTTCAGTGTAGCTGGGAATGGGCTTAGTCCCCTTCCTGCTTGACAAACCCTGAAGCTTGTTGGAATCCTATGCCACAGTGGCTGTGGTGTCAAGATTAAGTATAAGGAGGAAACAAATACTTGAAATTGGAGAGATGTTTCAAACACAAAACATCATCTCTTAGTCACATGACAGGTCTCTGTACTTGAAGATGTCTTTTGATCTTTTAAGCTCTTTCCTTGAAAAAATGAAAAATATGATTCAAAACTGGCCTAGAATCTTGGAGTTTTCCTGGTGTGTATGTACAAATGTGTGTGTAGGTACACATGCACATGGATTCACACTCATGTGTGTGTGTTTGTGTGTGTAGGTCAGAGGTTGGGATTAGTACCTTCAACAACTTTCACCATAGGTATCGACATGGGGATCTCTCAGTGACCCTGCAGCTCACTAATTAATCTTGCTTTGGCTTCCCTAGCAGTGAAACTGTAGCATGCATAATTGTGCCTGGTTTTTACAACAGAGCTGGGATCAGATCTTCATACTTGGGTGACAAGCAGTTGACCACTGATCCATTTTCCCAGCACATGGTCACATGGTCGGTCCCTTTCTTTTTGATAAAACGAGGTTTATAGCTGCGCAAATGTCTTTCTCAGTTCCATATATATATATAATATCTTTGTGTCTGTGTGCGCTACCTATGTCAAATACAGTTGCCCAAGCCTTATTTACCCATAATTCTGATAGAAGTGAGTTTTCAAGTCCTGACAGGGGATGATTTTCTACTACTGCTCCTGGACCAAGCATATTTCATCTTTTGAAATTTAAATATGGCGTTCTGAATGAAGTCTCAACAGCTTATCTCAGGAGCCTAGCTTGATTTGTTTTCTCAAGGCAGGAGAGACAAGGGAAAAACTATGGGGGGGGGAGAAATAGCTGGTTTATTTTCTAATGAGTGCCCATTCTCACTCTCTTGCTTTCCCATTCAATGATATCAGGGTCTCTTACTCATTTGGGAGAGGGTGGACTAAATCGTCTTCCATACAAACAGGGACTCAGAGTTATAGTCTTTCCCCCAGAATGATAAGAACATTCTAAAAACTTCTACTAGCAAGTTTTAAAATGTTCTATGTGTTTGTCTTCTGGTTCTTTACTAAGAACCAATGAGGGTGGGGCATAAGGAGAGAAGACTAGCTGGGGTCCAATGTCAGGCACTTTGCAGTATGCATTTTGTAGAAGGAAAGGAATCTGTTGTGAGCCTCTATAAGTACAACCATCTATGGGGAGAAAAAGGCAAGGTCCACTCACCACCATTCTATAAACCTTGTTTTTCTTCATATGTAAGTTAGGAATAACAGCATTACCCATGATTTGTATGCTCATTTTAAAAAATAAATGAATTAAAATATGCATAACATACATGAAATCCATTATTATTCTGTACATTCGAATGCTAAATGATGATACTTGATTCAGTAAAATCCCCTTGGATCTACACTAGAATTCAGTATGTCTTTCATCTAAAGATTACAGTATACATTTATTTTAAGAATGAATTAGAATTATGTGTAAAATATAAGGATATTATAGTTGCTGCAACCTTAGGATTTCTGTTCCAAAATTGAAGCAGCCATTAATAACTGCATGCATGCTGTGTGTACCCAACTACGTGAAATGATGGATTATATAGGCCATCTTAGGTCTGTTGTATAGAGTGATGGGCAAGCAGAGAGTGGCCACTTATGGTACCTACCATATATGCCTGGTCAAGAGCTTGTTTTCTGTAGTCTAGTTCTTCCTCCAGGTAGCCTTTTATTTTGCAAAACTGTTCCTATTAAAAAAAAGGATCACATTGACAAATTAAGAGAGCATGCTCGGCTAATTAGAAAGTGATACATGAAAGCAACACAGATGAATGTTTTCTCTAGCGCCCAAGACAAATCGCTAGTATTCGGAGAACTGTAGTTCTCATCTAAGAAATTAGTTTTGCTTTCACAGCCTTACACAGAGGATGTGAAAATCAATAACAAGAAGCAGAAAGGGCATAATAAGGAACCACATGAGAGGCTCCTAAAGACTTAGAGTGGGTAATTAAGGATAGTTGTTGACATGGTTGTTAATAAGTCTATCTGCGTAGTACACTTGGCTTTCTGTTTCTTCCAGTTTTATACCTAGAGAGACTGGTATTTGGGGGATGAAAGTTTTTGAAAGAAACATCTGTTGACAGTGGCAACAACGATCTTTTAAAAGGCATCTTGTTATAAGATTAAAGATAACACTGCAAGTTAACAACCTATTAATTCCTACATTTGAAGTTATGCTATTTTAAATTGTGTTAAAATGCACATGAAATAAAATTAACACTTTAATCACTAAAGAGCATATTTGTGTACTTTATGTATATGGGTGTATGTGAAATACACCCATGTTGTTATGAAATCAATGTCCATAACTTTTTAATTTTGCAAAAGAGAAACTATGCCCCTTTAACAATCCTGTTTTTTTGTTTCTCGCAACCCCTGACAACCATACTGTGCCTTCCTTTTGTGTGAATTTTATGAGCTAGTTGCTCATATACATGGAATGATAGTGTTTGTCGTTTTGTGATAGTTGGTTTCATGCCTGTTCATCCACGTTGTACCCTTCACTAGACACTACGGATGCTTGTTTGCTTAGACTAAACTCACACATATGCATGCCATACTTTGTTCAACCATCTAATCATCAATAGATATTTTGGATACATTCACCTTTTAGCAACTGTGATTAACATCACTATGAGAGTAGGTGTACAGTGACCTGCCACATCCTAATTTCCATTCTTTTTGGTATTGCTGGGTCATGTGATAATTCTGTTGGAGTTTTAAAGCAATCCCCATGCTATTTTTATATTTGTATTATTTTATACCTTGGTAGTATCCTGGGTTCTAACTTCTATACTTCTTTGCCAACAATTATCACTTTCTATGTTTTTCTGACAGTAGCTACCCTAATGGGTGTGAAATAGCTTGTGGATTCTTAAAACCAGACATACCCATCAAGTCTGTACTTTTTTACTTGTTAATTACTCAAAGCAAAAAAAATATTATTCAGCCTGAGAGAAAATACCTAATTTAATGTCTTTTAATATTAGTTTTATAAATGTTGCCAATATACAGCCTGCTTTGGGGGAGAGAGCTTGAAGCTATCAGCTGTTTCTGAGACATATGCCCCAAGTCTGGACACAGATCATTAGGGCAGTTCCAAACTTCCACTCGTGCCAGATACAAATGGCAGTAGGGATGTTCCTTTTTCGTTATGGTATAAAGTTTTCCTCTTTATACTTACCATGTCACTTTCCAATTCCATCATCTTCTGGTGCAGCGCAGCCTCTGCTCCTTCAATCTGCTGTATCCACTAAAGGGTTAAGAAGACAGAAACATTGGGCGTGAATGCTGCACATGGCATGAATTCTGTGGGTCGTTCCCTGGCGTGCCTGGGTTTTCAGCTGATGTCTCTGGATGTTGGTTGAAACCTCATGCAGAGACTTAATGCTACCATCTCCCACACATCATTCATTCAACAAATATCCTCTGATGTCTACTACGCGTCAGCTACTAAGGAAGGCTCCGGTGGTGACTAAGAATAGCAAAGGTTTTACACCCATGGGAGGATTTCTTGGAAACTGAAGTCTAAAGGAAGAGTGAGGAAATTGAATTTCAAGGAAGACCATGCCCCATAGCTCAAGGTTATGAGTAAAAGTAACAACGGAATATATGAAAATTAATCCTATAATGTGGTTCTCCTAGAATGAGATTTAACTGAAGACATTTTTAAAAGCACACAAAGAGAACTTATTTCTTGATACTCAGAATGCACCATTTTGACATGGGTATTAATAACCCCTACTGTCTTTGGGTCCAATATATGAGCATAGTGCATATATGGCTTAATGGAACCAATTATCCGAATGGATGTCCATCAGGGTGGATGCCGGCTTAGACCGTATGGAGGGGATTGGGCATAGCTGTGCGAGTGCTGGGGGAGCCCCCTTGCCTCCTGCTCAGCTTTAGCTTTTCTTTGCTATGTGGCTTTGAAAGGTAGCCTGATGTCCCTGGAATCACAAATTTGTATATGTCAAGTGGTATAAATAACAATGAAAAAATTTTCAAAAATTTGTGTGAGGTGACAGTCACTGAAGTGTCCCACTGTGAGGTTTTGTTTCTCTTCAGTGCAGACATATGGCACATCTAACAATTCTACATTCTAGAGCCTTTGGAGAGAGAGCATGACCAGCACCCCTCCTCCACCTCAGCTCCCGAGACCACACTATGGTGGCAGAGCCGTGAATCTCTCACATCTCACCCATATATACAGCAACTTCCTCAAGAACATTTCAGTCAACAGCTACGGCTTCGTACACATCATTATTTTTGCTACCACTTCTTTTTGCCCCCTTTTCATTGAGAAACAGATTCTGTTTCCAATTGTGCGTTTTCAGGTACTGCAAACCTCAACTCTTCCGCTGTGAGCTTCAGCCCTTGTGTATGGGCTCCTGATCCTATCTGTGTGGCTAAGGCCAGTTGCCACTTGCAGAAGGAAAGTGGGGCAGCTGTAAACTAAATGGGAGAAACAATCATGATATCTACAGTGTGTGATGAAGTGCTGAGCCCACTATGCTTCCTCACTTAAAGCCATTGCCATTCCCTTTTTATATGAAGACATACAGGAGTTCTCTGCTGGAATTTTGTCTAGGTATACACTTGGGCTGAAGATCATGCTCCCAATTAGCAACTGTTGTCTAGATTCATAGTCTTATGATCAAAGGGGGACAATTAGAACAACCTGGGGATAGAACCAAAGCAGAGTCCTTAATGGAGGAGATGGCTCTAAACTGATTTGCAAAGGTCTCACCATTGGGAAAAAAAACCATCAATTATACATTTCTTAAGCTTCTAGAGCAAGTGTGTGTCTTATTCATCCAGCGCTTGACTTTCTACCACGGTGTTAACAGCTACTACCCAGTGCTTGCTCAGCTGAACTCTGTAATGCAAGAGATACGTGAAGGAAGGCACGTACTAGAGCATCACAGACCCCATGGCCCAGCTAATGGCTGTTATGTACAGCCTGCTCAGGATTTCTCGAGCTACACAAGCATCTGGTGAAAAATGATAGATATGGACTCTGGGTCTTAACCTCTTTCTGTGCAACCTTGGGCAGAGCACCCACCATCTCTGTGCTTCTGATTCTTTGTGAAAACTGTGATGATGGTACCTAGATCCAGTGATCAGGAGAGGCCAGTTCAAAAGAAGCAGTCCACAAGTGTTCCCTGAGCTTTAACAGACTGCAGCACACTCAGACTGGGACCAGGGTGAGACTGAAGGACCTAACGAGGCACACAAGCCTAGCTCTTACTGCTTTACCTTCCTAGCCCACGCCTTTCATAGAATCAGGCTACATTTTCTTTGAAGTCCCAAATCAAGGCAATTTCACACTGCATTAAAGGACTGCCACCCCTCATGTCTTCAACTGCATAAGACTCTCTGATCATTGCCACCGAACAAAACAAATACCTAGAATGGCTGATATGAAGTTTGCGCTGGAAATAGGAAGGAACTTGGAAAATTTTAATTTAATAGGTCAAGCATCAAACGATAAGTGATCAGCAAAATGCTTTTAGTAAGAACACATAAAAATGGTTTGTTTAAACTAATATCAGTAAATGGAGCACACCAATATTTTGTAGTTTTAATTCTCTAACAACTCTTCTTTCTTTCTCTCCCTTTATGTTATCATTTTAAGAATTAAAACATTGCTATTAGACCCGTAGAATTTAATCATTTCAAATTCAAAAGAGCTGATTGTTGCTCAGGGCTTAATACAACTTTTAACATTATGTCTATGCCTGTCAGAAATAAGACAGAGTCTTAATGGATATATACAATAAAACTTTCATACTATTCAAGCATGTGCACACAACTCCCTGTTATATGCAGAATCTCTTTTAATTAAAATCTTTGAGAAAGATTCTTGCTATATAAGCGAGGCGGGCCTTGAACTTGCCTCTCTGTTTTCTCTGTGGTTAAAAGCACGTACTACCACACCTGGCTATGGGTTCACAGACTTGGACACAACCAGGAATCCTGGCTTTGGTTCTCCTCCACCAGCCATGTCATTTACCAGGTTTGGACACACGAGGTCAGCAGTACACCAGTATTGTGCTTTCAGGCTTGGGCTGCAGTCAAGCCACAGAATCTATGGGGAACAATAGGTGCACACACACACGCGCACACACACACACACACACACACGCGCGCGCACACACACACACACACTAAAGGAACAACCTGGAACTAGAGCAACTCTAGTTTCATCAGCTCTCAACAAAACCCTTCTTACTGGCTTCCCAGTTCGCTGGGATTGCTTGAATGATGTAACTGAGAAGGGTTTCCATTTTGATGGTGTATTTTGCAAGTAAATTTAATGTAAAAAAAAAAAATCCCCATCCCACAGTGATCTATACACTTCTGTCTATTCTCACTCTCCTGGGTCAAATCTCATCGATCACATATTCAGTAATGCCGAATCGGGTGCTCAGAGCAGGTGGTTCACTCTCATGCTCCCAGACACCAAGCTTAACCCTGGGTGACTAGAAATGCCAGCTTTGTTCATTACCTTCTCTGCCAGTGACAGCACAGTGCTGGCCTGAATTATGGCCACCTGTTCCTCGTTCCTCAGGTTCTGTAAAAGACCCAAGAAGAACAATAAGGTGAGAATGCTTATGACATTTGCACCATGGAAAACATGTGTGCCCTGAACACGGCGTGTGTGCAAATAGCCTCTGTGTACTCTGGCTGCTAACAATTCCTCACGAAGAGTCCGTGCAAAGTCTCGTGCTTTGTGTGACTCTACGCACACCTCATTACAGTCATGGTAAGGAAGCCGGCATTAAGGAGGAGCCGTCCTCTCAACAGCAGTTCTGACAAGATTTCACTGGTTGTCATTTTCAAAGGGAAAATGGTGCGCCATTTTTCCTTGTATGCTCCTCGATGTACTACACGTGCCAGTCACCTTATGCTGGCACGAGTGGTGCTGCCCCTGAATTAACAGCCCTTGGCCCTGCTCAGAGGGAGCTGCTAAGAAGAAGAAGAAAAAATTATAGCCTCCTGCTTCATTTTATAGGGCTGCCAACAACCCCAGTGTTTAGCCGTCTTTCCGACCGCCTGGCTGATTAATTTTACACTGGCTGCCTGTGAGCAGCAGTCAGAAAGTAATTAGCTGTAATCACTGCAGATGTGGTCTGCATGCCAACCTGAACCCTCGGCCACATCTCCTTTCCACAGTGACCTTCCGGCCATCCCCATGGCTGTTGTGGCATGTGGGATTCTCTGTGAGGAGGGACATACTTAGGGCAGATATGCTGTCTGACTCGCTAGTGGCTTACACTTGGCACAGAGCCAAGTATTTCTTGACTTTGTTCAGGCCAGTCCACACCTCTGTCACATGTAATTGGTGTGTTACTTACCCCATTATCGCCCAGGATGTCAAGTTGCTTTATGAGATCAGGGATGTTGACATCCTGCAAAATCAAGGAGACGTGTTCAAGTCAAGGCACAGATGCAGTAGAGACAATGGTACTGACGCAGGTACACTGGGCAGCTCAGAGCAGAAGCACAAGAAGGGCCATGCAGAAGGTAAAGGGGCCAACCAGACACAGCAGGAGGCACCTCAGGAGAAATGTCTCTCACGAGGCCCTCCAGGCAATCTATTTTGTGGGGAACAGGGCCACGCCATCTCAAGCTTAGCACACATAATGTGTTCCACTAAGTGCTAAAGAAAGAACCACATTTGATCTTGTAGGCATCATGTTAGAAGGCCTAAGCCCCTCCTAAAGAGCTAAGATCCTCCTTCAATTAAATCCATCAAAAGCAGCAAGAACCGGACAATGTCAGAAGTCTCATCTCACTCAAAAATCTCACGACAATGAGTTCCGTAGCACCAGGAAGCTGCAATAAAGAGACTCAGGTGACCTGTTCCATCTGGTTGATTTGAATCGTGTTTCTTGAAGCACATAGTTGATTTATATTTTGCCGAGGTAACTAATACCATTTATTTTACTGCATGTTCTGATCCTACACCATCCATTATGTTACTCTGATCTAAATGCCCCACCTCTGTTCTTGCCATTACCCTTTATGCCTCTGTCAAACATTTCTTTTATGTCCTATTGACTTCCAAGAGATGTGTGACTAGTTTTGCCCTGTACCTAGGGACTGACACACAGAGTGACCGCAAGCAGCCGTTCCTTTCCCAGTTTCCTGTTTTCCTAATGTCTGCACACACAGAAGCCTCAGCATCCGCCTACCTTCACACCTTCTTTCATGCAGTAGATCTGCAGGGCGCTCACGCCGTCTGAGAAAGGGTGAATTTGTAGATTAAATGGAGGGGATCTCCTTTCTCTCTCCTTGAAAAATATAAGAAAAGAAGCGGTAACGGATTAAACACTAAACCAGTCGTCTCTTTATACCGTCTCAGCAGTTTATCAACGTGTCATTTAGCCAAAAAAAGAAAAAAACATTAAACTCAAGATGTACATGCCTAATGGGTGGAAGAGAATTAAGCAGTCAGTCAACTACAAACACGGGAGAAAATTTATAGATGGTGTCATCCATCCTTGAAGATTCTTGTTCAGGGAGATGTGGAAAGCGGAGATGCAATTTCAACACTATGAATATGTATTCCCCTCAGATAGCCTAGGGTGGGCCGGCTCCGAAGGTTTGTGTTGGCAAACGGCCTCTGCACATCTGATCCTCCCCTTCTTTATGGGCGAGATATATAGGCTGCGGGGATGACTCCCTCATCTCCACTGGAGCATACTGACTACTGACTTTACCTCCAGACCTAATCTGAAACAACCTCGAGACAAATATCACTAGCAAAGCAACAAAAAATTCACAGAGGAATCTGCCATCACCCAGAACCTCTGTCAGATTTCGTAGAATACAATCAAAGTGTGGCACGATGTGTTTTATTTAAGAAACAAATCCTCTGAAACCACCACCTCAAGTCTGTCCTGATGAATCAAGGTGTTTCCTAAGTCAGTCACCCAGCTGTTGGAGGAGCACAGTTAACCATCAGAACCCTTCTAAGCTTCCTCAAGATTTATCATTCCCAGTCACATGGCATGGGCAACAGTTCTAAGGTATTTAGCTTCAACTGTCACAACCATAAAGTCCTGAGCTAATTCTGAGGTCTGAATGAAAGTGTGACTCTGAAATGCCTAGTTCAGGCCCGGGCCCTGGCGCGCTCGTGTCATCGTTAGCGGCAGTGTTGTTTCCTTACTTCTAGCTCTAGGTTGCGGAACTCCAGCAGCTCATTCTGGTCTCTGGCGTCCTGTAGTTCCTGCTGGAGCCGGTGGTTCTCTGCTTCCTGTTTCTCTATCTGATAAAGCAAACCCTGGAGTTAGGCGAGGACAGCAAGGAGCACCTTGGCAAAGCAAGTATGGATAACCTTCATGCACTCAGTGAGTGGGATTTGCTCTGGACCGTGACAACCATCCCTAAGGAGATGTGGTTATGGCAGGGTTGGCTTCTCTTGTAACTGTCTTTCAGCTTATTTTGGGAGGCACAGAGACAAATGTCAAGAAGAGTGAGTCTTTCTCTGAGTATGCAGGCTAGGGCTTCTGTAGTCAGTGAATTCGAAACGCTCACATGTCCCCTACGGATCAGGCACAGTGTGCTGGGAACAGATTTAAGGATGTTTATGGGGGCAGTTGACATGCTTATCTCTGAAAATACCAGTTGTCCCAGGGATAATTGGACCACTAATTTACAGCTTATAATTATAGATGTTTATGGCTACAATCTAACCAAGTCATGCTCTTTACCTCTAACAACCTTTCGTATGGTGCCAAGATTTGATATATACTTTTGTAGGAATTCTGAAATACAAACTAATTGCTTTAAACAGCTCATACGCACAAAACTGAGAGTTATAATTGCTGAACAGAGTGATGTGAGACTCCATATATGGAATTCCAACCTTCGAAAACTGCTCAACACTTGATCAATCAGCTTTAAATGTTATCAGTATCATCTCTACACAGGCATATGTGAACATGCAGACACACACACAATCTAGCAGTCCTGATCTATCCTACGAATCCAGGAGTTTTCTTGGTTCTCGCCCACCTGGAAAGTACTCCTCTATCTTTTTACTACAGAAATCATTCACTTCCCTGAACACCAAGCTCTACATTCCATGTGAACCTCTGCTAGTCTAAACACTCAGAAATGGCACCTCTTCCCCCATCATCCTGTGGAGCTGTTTGCTGTTCTTTCTTAGTTGTTACCAATTGCTTGGTTTTCTAAGACAGGGTCTCTCTGTGTGGATCAGGCTGGCTTTAAACTCTCGGTCCCCAGTGACCCTCCTGCTTTAGTGTTTCTATAGGGACTATAGGTACACAGAGCCACACTATTGTCCTTTATGACCTGCTCAAGGGCACCCTGTACAATCTGATGAAGCGTGAGACATAGGGTGAAGTCAGATGCGCACCAATGTGCTTTCCCTTCAGGCAAAGATCACGGCTGAGACCCCTGTGCATTTGAGGGAACCCGATGGTCTTTATGCACTGCCATCTCTGTCACTAACTATGAAGGAATCATTCCACACAGTGGCAGTTTAAAAGCTTAAATGTAGCAACACAAAAACAGGCGCTTTCATTTGAGAGTGGATCTTATTTTCCAAAACATATAATTGAAAATAAAATGTTTAGTGTGTGTGATTTCTTTTGCTCTGTGTGTGTGTGTGTGTGTGTATGTTTCTGATTTTGATATAGAAGACATAACTCAAAAATTTCTTTTTGCCAAAAAAAAAAAAAACCAAGAGACTAAAGGAAACCAGAAAACACACTGGAATCAATTGCATGATAAAGGACCGTAACAACACGTTGTGGGACATCTCTGAGACTAGTAGGAAAACAGCAGCAGAGCCATGGGGAGGAGCTTTGTGACATATGACATTTTCTGATGTCATCAACAAGGGTTCTGCTTTACCATGCACCCTATCAACCTCTCTGTCTTTCTGTCTGTCTCTCTCTGTGTCTCTGTACCCTCGTCAACTCATGTGTGTGTGTGTGTGTGTGTGTGTGTGTGTGTGTACGTGCACATATGCACACAAATATGGGTATGAGTAGCACAAGAGGCCAGAAGAGACTGTTGTATTTCTTGGAGTTGGAGTTACAAGCGCTGTGGGTGCCAGAATTGAACTCTGGTCCTCTCGAAGAACAGCAAGTGTTCCTAACTGCTGAGTCAACTCCCCAGCACCTTATCATAGACATCTGTAGTCTAATGAAGTTTCAGACAATTTGTATGAATTGGTTCAGATCGTAAAGGAGATTATCCTTCTTAGAATCTTATCACTGGATCTATGATAGGGTATTGGAGGAGATCACTGGATCTCGTGGCTACTGATAGAATCAGAACAGTTGTTTACCTATTTCAATGTATTGCTAGGAATGACTTTTTCTTGTCTCTCCTTTTGTTTCTAGTTCACGTTTTACTTGTTTTGTAACAGGGATCGAACACAGAGCTTTAGGTGTGCTATCTCTACCACTGAATCCTTGTATTTTTTCTTCCACAACAGTCTCACTAAGTTGCCCAGGCTAGCCTCGAACTCTCTGTGTAGCCGTGGGACACCTTCCTGTGTCAGCCACTTGAGTAGCTACTAGGCCACCTAACCACATTTATTCATAGAAATTTTGAGGTCTGAACTTTGGGTACTGGCCACCTCCGTACCTCAGTCCTGCTACATTTTCAGAAAGACAGGATGCACTTGTCCTGTTAAACTAGAGGAAAGAGGACAGCTTTTCCATCCCACTATGACCAGGACATAGTGGTAAATTTTCACTAGTTATCAGTGATAGAAAAGTCTGGAGAAAATAATGTCAAAATAATTGTTCTATGATGTTACATTGCCTCAGATCAAAAGCCTGCCGTTAATTATCTCTATTGGTTAGAAACATATCTTAGTTTGTTGACCAGTTTCCTAGACTTGGTACTTTTTGTTTTGGATGCCTCTAAAACATCAATCCCTTCCTTTAATAAGTAAAAGAAGCTAGGCAGTGGTGGTGCACGCCTTTAATCCCAGTACTTGGGAAGCAGAGGCAGGCAGAAATTTATGAGTTCGAGGCCAGCCTGCTCTACAAGAGCTAGTTCCAGGATAGGTTCCAAAGCTACAGAGAAATCTTGTCTTGAAAAACAAACAAACAAACAAACAAACAAAAAACAGCAGCAGCAGCAGCAACAACAAAAAAAGAAAAAAGTAAAAGAAAAGAAAAAGCCAAGTCCAGCAAATATGTCTAAAAGTGAGAATATAGTCTGTGAGAATCAGAGCACAGACATATTCACTCACTTTCTTACACAACACAACGTGAGATTTCTTTTTTTAGGGGGCAGGTGGGTGAACAACCACACAGGAGATGCTCACGGGCACATGTGTGCACACACATATCATCTACACACACACACACAGCACACCGCATATATGCAGTACATATATATGGCTAACACGTCGCTGGGGCACAGGAATCACGCCCTGACAAGTCTGCAGCCATGCATGAGTGCCACTTCACTGATGGTGATGGCAGGGAGGGATGGGATGCGGTCGAGCACACAGCAGAGGACAGAGCAACGGTGGGAAAGCCTCCCCTTCCCTGGCCCCTGTGCCACTCCTGAGAGCACCCCCTGCTGCTCCTGGATCATCGTTCTCTCCTCTGCCCCACTAGGGTGGTGCGCCCAACATACCTTTTCTAAAAGCTCCTGGTTTCTCTTAATGAAAAGTTGTTTATCTTCTACCCAGTGTGAGTCCTGTTTGACAAAGAATATCGCGCAGTCAGCATTTCAGAGTGCCACGGAGGAGTCTGTGTGCTCAAACCAGCCGGCCAGAGCCGTGTTCTTCCCACCCAGTTTGCCTGCACAGAGTAAACTGGTTCTGGTAAGTGATGCCCACCCTTGCCAGCTACGTTTTCAAGAATTCTGGGGCCAGAGTTGCCAGGACAAATTGGCCCTGGTTCTATCGTCACTTACTATCGCTACCTTTTCCAGTCTGAATAATCCAGGACCAGCCTTCTGGGGACTCAGAAGTGACCACACAGGCAAAAAAAAGTGAAACAGGTCAGAATGCACACAGGCTCAATACATATGAATGGAGAACACTAAAATGCAGGACCATATATGGAGTACGGAGGCAAAGAACACAGCTCGAGGAGGGAAGCTCTGCCTTAGCCGTTTGTGACCGCTCTAGGCCTTGTCCATCTGGGCGCCCCTCCCTCTGGCCTCTCTTTTACCCAACTTCACTCACCACTGTGGCTGGGTTTGCACTCGGGGAGAATAGCAATGGGGACTGGAATGGTTTACATTCTGACACAGTTTGAGAAAGGTCACTGTGGTGAGCCAAGCCATGTCCTGGGTGTGGCCCATGCATGAGGTGAGCCGGAGGAGAGGTGGCCTGAACCAGTTGCACCTGCAGGAAAGCTAGCGACCGAGCACCTACCTGCCCCTTCTGAGCTAGTGTTGCCTCCAGATCTTCGATTTTGGCCTTGTATCTTTGCACCTCTGCCTGGAGCTGCTCTTGTGCCTGGGGAGATTAAAAGTCCAGAGTTCAATGAGTGAGTGAGTGACTTGGCTATATCCTTCACTAGTGCTCAGCAGATTCGTTTGTGGAGGGGAGGGTTATTCTTCTAAGTTGCCTTCACAATCAAAGAAGATCTAGAGTCTTGACAAACGTCCTTATGGTCCCATCTGTCATCCCACGAATATTCACGCTCTCTAGCTAGCCACTAAAGGGTAGTGGATACCCATCACCCTCCAGACTCCACCTTGACTTCACCTCTAGCCCGGTGACATCTCTGATTTTTAAATCCTTTATGGTAACTCACTGCTGATCTATTCAAATGAACTTCTTTTCTGAGGAGAAATAAGTCTTATTTTCCTCTCTGAGTTTGACTGTGTTTTTCAGAGCCAACTTTCTGCTCTGATACCTAAAAAATCTAAGTTGAAAACTTTTTATTTTACTTTTCATAATAGTACATGTACATCTCTGTCTGTCTGTCTGTCTGTCCTCTGCAGTATGAAGGGTTAACATACTGACAGTGAAAATCTCAAATATGATAGTATTGAAGAAAATACATGAACATCTCTTTCTGATAATGGCTTGCCTGTCTGTTTCAAATCAAAGTTAAGTCTTTAGTATTTATCCCCGTGTGTGTGTGTGTGCGCGTGCGCGCGCGCGCGCGTGCGCGTGCACGCACGTGCTACCACTTAAAAATAGAGACTTGTAGAAAAGGAGAGTACCAATCTATCTTCTCAATGACCAAGAGTGGCTGCTGTGGCATCTCCCAGCATCTTGTTTTCCCTTCAGAAAGAAAAGTGGAGCACCAGCACCGCAGAGACGCGCTCCTTGTTATCTCTTGCCAAAGTCCGTAAGGCAGGTTCTTTAGGTGGCTCCAACTCTGCAGCTTAAAGGCTGGGCTCAAGTCCTAGCATCAGGACCCCAGGTAACTAATTTAACTTTGACTGACTGAATGAATAAATCACTTTCTTTCTTATTCTCTTCCTCCCTTCATTTGTTTGTCTTTTCTTCTTTTGGAAAAAATGCTTATAAGTGACAACCATGGCATTCTAGAAAGTAGACCCAGTAATATTGGAGCAGTAATCCACGTTGTACCGCACACTAGCTGTGTGACCTATAATGGGCAAGTCCATTAGGATTTTTGGCCTTAAATTCTGTTACAAAAGCATCTGCCTTAGGGAGCTGACACAAAGGCTCATTCAAACATCATCTGTGAAATTCTTAGTGAGTTGTAGATTCAATGTTTTACACTTTATAATTAAGAAAATAAAGTGGCTTAATCAGTACTTTTGAAAAAATAAAATAACTATTATTTTTAAGCAAAGAACTTAATAAAACAGACCATCAAATCCCAACATGGTTTAGAAAATTTAAGTTCTCAAGAAGTGAAAATAAGAAACACACACTCAGCTATCTTTAAAGGAACAAAAGCATTGATCTGTGTTTGGATGTGAAGTTTGTTAGAATTAAATAAAAAACAGAAGCCTCGGAGGACAAAAGGGCACAGAGAAGGCTGTGCAGCTCACATTTCAATGTCCTTGGTGCTTTAGTGATGTGACATCTGCAAGTGGATTCCAGGCCCTCTTGCAGGTTTACACTCACCTTGGCTTCTCTTTCAGCATCTATGATGCCTCCAGTCTGCTCCTGCAAGAGGGCATATGCTCTTTGGAGGGCTTGGTATTCTTTTGTTAACTGTCGAAATCGTAGCTCAGATTCTTCAGCAGCTAGACTCTGGAGGGTTGAAATGCAAAAGTCCAAAAGTAATTATGCTATGTCTGTGTCTTATGTTCTGTGTCAACAGTGACATTTGCCTACTTTTGTAAAGAAAAGATTTATTTGATTTTATTTTTAATTCTGAATTATCAGTAAAAATGTGAATATACAATATATTCAAGGCAGATGTTGGAAAAATATATAAGACATTATTTTAATGAAAGAAATGTTTATTTATTTTTACAATAATGGTCACTTTCCATTTGACCTTGAATAATACCCAATTTTAGACACAAACAAAGAAGTCATACCCAAAGTTTGGATCTAAATTTTAGGCAAGGATCCTTAAAGCGTTACTCCCATTTTTTCCCCATGCATTCAGAGACATAAATAGTTCATTAGTTTGTGATTAAAGTTCATCTCTACTAAATCATGACACTCCTTCTCAGTCTTAGAACTTAGATTTGGGGCTTCATTCAATTATCACCAGAGAATTTGTTCAAAAATGTGGAATAAGGAGGTGGGAATGAAGTTTAGTTGGGGAAGTGCTTGCCTGGCATACACAAAGGCCTGCTTCACTTCCCAGAATTATATATACATATCCATACATATGTACATGTACACACACACACACACACACACACACACACGTATGGAGGAGTTGTGGTGTCACCTGAAATCTCAAAACTTGAAAGGTAGAGGCAAGAGGATCAGAAGTTTATGCTCATCTTTAGCTGTCTAGGGGGTCTGGGGACAGCTAGCATTACATGTAACTCTATAAAAAAAGCAGTGTGGACTAGTGGTTTCATTCCATTGATTCTGACCTGGTAGTTGTGTTCAGTGTAGCTGAAGCCCCTGGATACTTCTGAAGATGGTGGACCACAGAATATGGAGTTTACTTAAACACAGCTTTACACTGAATCTAGAAGCCTCTTGAACTTGCTCTCCCTTTCAAGCCTTTCACAGAAGATCTTTGGGAAGTCACTTTTACTGTGAGGTGAGTAAGCAAATTACAGAGCCACACAGAATGTTCGAGACGTCTCTAGAGAGATTCCATGACATAGATGACACTTACTTTCAAGAGATATCAAAGTGGAACATGACTAAAGACTGGTCACGGTCACAAGATCAGCTTGTGCTTTTCCTTCCCCTTAGAGGAAAGATTTGGTGACAATATTGCACAGGATCAGAGGAAAGAAAAAGCTTACTTCATCTAAGTCATCATCAGGAGTGGCAGGTGTCCTGTCCGTTCTAAAGGAGGCCATGGATGATGTTTCTGAATCCATGGAGTCCTCGTCATAGCCAATGAATGGATCCAAAACAGGCCTCTAAGTAGAGAGAAAGAATAAACTTACTAACATGACTAAGATCAGTGAAGAATGCCATATCCAAGCTCCATTCACTATGACGGATACAAATGTGCATAGGGGTCCAGGATCTTTACCAGTTCTTTGGTGCAGTACAAACACTAAGCAGGAACACAATGCCAATCCATCTCTTGCCCATCTTTTTCACTTCTGACACACTTAAAGGAAGTGTGTGACTATTTGGATGTCTTCTAAAGCCATCATAATCTGGTTACATTACCTTCTGTCATGATGAGTCAATGCATTGTGCTCTTTTAAGTATTTAAAATTGGCCTATGGGCCTTGGAAAATGGAGGCACCCATGTTAAGGAAGTCATGGGGTCTTAACTCTAGTTTTCCAATCCCACATCCAACCCAAGTGACGTACATGGTAAAAAAACAAGCACAGAAATCAAAACAATGAGCTGTGCATTGTAGGGGCTATAAAAATAATGGTGGACTGAGAAGGTCATTATCAATACTTCCCAGATGATAATAATGCAAACACATCAATCAGTTATAGGACAGACATCATAAACTAATATGATTCAATGGAAGATATTGATTATGTATATCTCTTACATGTTCTTAGGATGTAACCCATGCACTTGTCAGAAAAACCTTCTAACATTAAACCCACTGCCTTTTCTATTAGAAAAAGTCATCGCCTTGCAGGTTAGGGCACAACAACACAGTAATTTTCAGACTAAGAAATATCAAGAGATTCTTTTTAAAAAAAATCAAAAATAAACAAACAAACAAACAAAAAACCCAGTAGGGCTTGTGGTTTGCCATAGTTCAAGACCATCTGATCTATCACATCTTTGCAGGTAGGTTCCTTGGCACGCCTCCCCTTCCTGACTTTTGGTGGCAAATGCCCGAAAAGAGTTTCCTCGTTACCTTGATTGGCTTCGAGCTTCTCCTGTGCTTTCTCCGACGGATGAGCTTTTCTCGATCCTAGAAAACAGAGAGGACTTTTCAGATCGAAGGTTGTCGCACATTTCCCAAGAACTTTGTTATCTCTTCCCTCTGCCCACAGAGGCCGGAAGAGGGCCTCGGATCCAAGAGAGCCTCGGAGGGTGGATCCAGGCAATAGAATTCACTGGCTGAGCTCTCTGTGGCCCCTTTTTTGTTTTTCAAAGAGACGGTTGTTCTCCCCTGAGAGATTATATATTTTTATTTGAAGTATGATTTTATTTTACGAATTTGGTAATGTTTGGACATGATGTGTCAATATTTTTTGGAGTATGTATATTATAATTTTCCTGCCATTTAATCAGGAAGTGTGCTGATTTCCTTTATTTTAGACCTGAAAACAGGGTCCCATCATGCGTAGTTGTACTCGCTGATGCCCACAATTACTTGGCATTTGTGTGAGAAAATATTATTTCTAGTTAGAATACACATTTATTTTTCTACATCTTGTCATCTCTTAGCATAGGCAGGTGTCCCTCGGCTAGTTTTTGGACCTTGTTTCCAGTATGCAGCTGGTGAGGATGGGGCAGGAAGCAGAGTACCTGCTCTGTTGGGGTCACTGTTGGGGTCACCTAGTTTTGCTTCTGGTTTATTTGAGAAGACATGGCTGTGGTCTTCTGAGAATCTCGGTGAATATCCACGAACTGTAATCAACTTCGTGACTTGTAAGGTGTGACCATAGCTATAGCTACTGGGACAACGTGGGATTTAATCATTAAGGACTCTGTGTTTTTACTGCAAATTTGGGCTAGATGGAGCTACCTGATCAACAGGAAATCTACAGTTTAATTTGAGGGTGTTCAAAGCCAGGTATGTCCCTAGTCCAGTGACTCTGTAAGACATAAGAGTTATCAAGGTAGGAGTGAGTGACCCAGGCTTCAGCTTACATTTGAATATAATTCAAAACATTGGCATTTAGACTTTACTTTTTGCCTTTATATATAAAATATTTTGATTGTGGATCCTCACTATAGCTGAAACTTAAGAAAATTAGACATTGCATACTCTCTTAATCTAATGGCTGCAAATTATATATGAACAATGGATGATTTTTTTTCAAGACAGGGTTTCTCTGTGGAAGATTTCTCTGTGGAAGAGTCCTGGTTGTTGGTTGTCCTGTAACTGACTTTGTGGATCATGGTGGCCTAGAACTCACAGAGATCCGTCTACCTCTGCCTCCCGAGTGCTGGGATTAAAGGTGTGCACCACCATCCAACAACAGTGGACAATTTTTAAAGGGAGAGTAGCAAATAACTGTAAACAGAAGTAGACTCTTTCGCTCCCAATGGCAGTGAAACAAAGTTCACCTATTCTGGAGATTATTGTGTAACAGCCCCCACTCCCACCCCTATGATTAGTTCAAATCTACAGGCTTTGGCTTATTCTTGAAATAAAAAGAAATAAAGATACCATTCTCAGAATAAAGACAGAGAGGTGAAGAAGGAAGCCTGAAGGCTTCAAGAGGTCTTATCCTACCATACTGTCAATAGTAACCTGAATCAGATGCAAATGGGACCTAGTCAACAGGAACTGAAGTATCTATCCATAAAGTGTATACTGGAATTTCTGCTCTATTACAGAATTATGATGCTGTTCTTCACCTACAAAGCCTTTAACAGAATGTATCTACATGCTACACACTGATTAGGTGTTAGAAACAAGGAGTATACATGGTCCTGCTTTCGTAGACAAAAAATTGAATTGCCAAGGCTCAGGAGACTGACCGTGGAAAGCAACTATAAAATACCCAGATCTACCCTGTATACTTACCTAACAAGGCCTCTGAAAAGTCCCTTAATGCGGCTCATATTCATGCTTCTAGACTAGTTGGCAAATGTTTAGAATTGGAAGGTATAAATCAGTTTAATAATATAAACGTTTTGGGCTAGAGTTTCTTGTCCATAATTACATACTGCACACCTGAATATGGGCATTTGGAGTTAATCCAAAATGATGAAGGGCTTCCTTATGTGTTGGTTGTTGGCTCCCCATCCTTAAGAATAGCTAGGGGTTTGCAGATGAGTGCACCTACCCTTGTGAGTTCGTCAATGATGTTCTGTTGCTCTATGACCTGCAGTTTCAGAAACTCTGTCTCTTGTTCTTCATTAGCTTGGTCAAGGTCATTCAGAGACTTCAGTTTCTTTAGGGGTGGGTGAGATGTTATTTTTTCTCTCTAAATTGGAGAAAAAGAAATTACAAGTGGAAACCTCAAAGATCCCCGATTTTAGTAATTGGCAAATTTGTAAAAATTGGGTCCCAGATAATTTGAATCCTCTTGGTGACAGACTTTTATATTTACCAACAAAAACCCTCAAGTACATTTTATCTGCTATAACATATTGAAGTCCTTGGCAATGTTTTGGACATTTCTATGGTTACCTTATCTTGGAAGTCTTTTCAGGAATGTATGACCATATCATTCATCCATATATAATACAAGCCATGATATTGATTTCTCAGCTATCAAGCAAACTAGAAGGCAGGCATGAACTCTCTCCACATTTCTGTGGCGTAGGAGCTACACTGAGGCTTTGCTTCTCCATATGGAAGTGTTTGAAGAGTGAGTGTATCCCCTTTTCTTGCTTTCCTTGCTTTTTCAAGGGAAAGTCTAAGCAGCAAATGAGAAACAACCTCAGCACAACCCAATAGGTCCCAGGTCCCAGGAGAAGAAGCAGAGGAAGAAGCAGCAGCTTCTGCAGCATCTGCGATACATACCATTTCTGAGTTCTCCTTGGTTACGGCTTTTAGTTTCTCCTCCATGCGCTGCAAAGACACCATCAGCTCATCGTTTCTCTTGGCGAGGCACTTGTTCCTTTCCAGGAGAGGTTTGCATTGCTTTTCTGTTTCCCGCACGCGTTTTAACTGAAAATAAATAAAATAAAATAGATTTTTGGTGTCCTGAGGAAAGTAGGGCAGGAGGGGCCAAGTGCTAAAGAGGGAAAGCACCCCTTCAATTACCCGACCTGTCCTAGGATTGACCACTACATTCCAGCCCTCCATTTAGCCAACCAATATTTTTTAGTTTCATTTAATGGGTATTCTCTTCTCCTCCCTCACCCAGTTCCTCCTATTTAGAAGGAATTGCTATGTAGGTCTGGTAGACTCAGAACTTACTATGTAGCACTAAGTAGCTTGGAGCAGTCATGACTCCGCTGGCTTCAGTCTTCCCAGTACTGTGACTAAAGGCCATGAGCCACAACGCCTGGCTCTAGAGCCTTTTTAACATAGTCCTGTCTGCTACCTTGACAGAGGCGCCACAGATGCTGCTGCTGCTTCTGGAAGCGGCCAGGAAAACCCAAAGTTCTCTTTGCTTCCATTGACTTCCTTCACCTCGCTTACCCATATAGGTCTAAACTCTCTCCCTGAACCAGCAAGGACCTCTCAGTGGCTCAGCAACAGATAGAAGCACAATTGAACTTCATGGTCATCGGAACCTGCTTCCAGGTCTCATTCTCTGCAACGGCATTGCCTCCTGCAAGGGTCTTACTGAAATCTCCTTACTAAGGCAGTTCGTGTTTTTCTGTTGTTGTCACAGGACCTGTTCTGTATTCCACAGGATGCTGGACAGCATCCCTGACCTTGTCCTGCTGATGACAGTAACACCCTGCCAGTTGCGATGATGACATCTGATGACCAAGTTGCCTTTCATTTAGAGCTAAATGTACGAATGTTGTCTTGTAATCGTCAGCAGCCCTTCCTTCATATTCAAAGCACTTATGCTTAGTCACTCTGTTATAGGCTGATCTATATAGACGGATTAGATTTCTATGTTGAATTTGTAATGATCAGCTTATTCTTTTTATCAGAAGATTTCAAAGACCATCACTCCTATGGAAATCTATGATTTGGGGAGATACTGAGGAAGGAGAAAACGACCTAGGATTGAGAACAACAAATAAGATTTTGTTATTCTTAGCACTTCCCCAGTACCTTTCTAATCTCAGTTTGAGAACTACAACTTTATGGTGATATCAAAAACATGGATTTACTTTTCATAAATAATCTGGGACAACACCTTTTCAGTATTGGTGTCTGAATCAAGAATATTAAATTTCGAGTACATATAAAGAGAAATTATTCACTGGGCTTATTATTGCGATGTTGATCTCTTCTGTAAGTTAATGCCGTGTGTTTGCAGTAGTTAAGTCTCTTCAGTGCATACAATTCATAGGAAATGCACATAAACATGAAGGGAAAAAACTGTCCAATTGTAGCACAGCATCCAATCACAACAGTTCCAAAGCACCCAACAGAGTGCTTCCTCAAAAGGACACGCCTTTGTAGATGAGAGAGACTGAAATTATACATGTATGCTCCATCATGAATATACGTATGCATATATATGAATAAACAGAGGCTCGTGTAGACTCTAGGAAGCCCTGCTATAGTTTAACTAATAACAGACAGACCTGAGGTCAAGGAAAGGAAAAATTTTATAATCGTAAAGGGTTGATATGCTAAAACCATTATCAAATATTAACTTATGCCTACCAAGTAACATAACTTCAAATATGTATAAGGAAAAATGGACAAGCTAAGAAGAGACATATTTGTTGCGAGAAATAAGCAGACAAAAATATTAGAACTATATAGAAAATTTAAAACAAGGCCACAAAGGAATGAAAACTTTAACTGAAGATGTGGAGCACTTCTTCCTCGTCTGGGAATATGACATATTTCTAAAGTGACTGTACTGGTTAGCTTTTGCCAGCTCAACACAAACTAGGGTTACCTGAGAAGAGGGAACCTCAATTGAGAAAATGTCCCCCAGATATTGGCCTGTAGACAAGCCAGGGAGACATTTTCTTGATTAATGATTCATGTGGGAGGACATGTGGGAGGTCCCGGGGTGTATATAAGAGCAAACTTAGGAAGGCATGGGGAGCAAGCAGGTTCTCTTCACAGTGGACTGACCAGAACACGTAAACCAAATAAGTCCTTTCCTACTCAAATGGCTTTTGGTCACAGTGTTTTAGCATAACAATAGACAGCAAGTGAAGATGCTGACCCTGTGCTATGACCAGAAAGAAAATTGTAATACTCTCACAGCAACGAAATGTTGCAAAGTGTGGCAAATGTTACAAAGTAACTAATACCAGAAGATAATTAGAAAAATCTCTAGAAGTTTAGAAAATGAGCAATACACTTTTCAGAACAAGTTGCATGATATTATTTATGAAATAGCAATACATGATAACACTCCAAACTTGTGAGAGTTGTCCAAAAAAATAAGATTTTGAGAGAAACAATGGCCCCAAATTCAGGGAAAGGCTAAAATCACTTTTACATAAACAGCTTCATCAAAATCTAAACTACAGAGCAGTATGTCTAAATATCTAATTTCAAAATGTTCTAAAGTTATTAAGAAAATAAAGCAGACTAGAGAAAGAACAAAATGCTGAGGACAGATTGTAACAGAAGACCAGCAGGCTGGCAGATATTTGACAGCTCCCCCAAACTCCTTAGAAAAGACAAAAATCAAAACAAAAGTCAGAATAAGAATACACCTCATGACCAAATGGTGTGCGTGTTGGCAAAGATATGGAAACACTGAGGCCCTCATGCACGCACTGGCACTGAGAACCTGAAGTGTTAGAGCAACCTCAGATTTCAACTGACCACGTTGCAGGATCCAAATTCATATGCCCAGGGGGAAGAGGCACTTTTCTTCATCACTGATACCTAGAAGTCCCAGTCTAAACAGACTAAATGTGCTTAGGAGCTCGAAAAATATTCCAGAAGAAAGGTTGCATGTGTTGCAGTAATGTTAACTGGATGCTGCAGAGTAAGGAAAGAGAACAACTCCACACAGCTCAAGGAAGATCCTCATAGGCAAACTAGTGAGCTAAAGCAGCCGGGAACACAGGAATAATATGCAATTATTATTATTTTATTCTTAAAATTATTATGGTAGATACCCGCACAGAAACCAGAGTGGTGCCATTGTTAATTGGGTCTTGGATTAGAGAGAGGGGTCTTGGTCATTTTCCACTTAGTCATTGGGAAGGTAGTTCTGTGGGGCAGTCACTTTTTGAGGATTTATCATGATGTACTGTTAATACCTACTCATTTTTCACTCATGATAAACTAACAGAACACATGTTTTCATAGCCTAACATCTAACAAAACACATGATCAAAACAGTTTGCGTACAACTTACCAACTCGTTTCGTTCATCTCCAAGCAAGGTGTTCCTATCTTCTAACTTTCTTATAGTGGCATTCAATTCAGCTATTCTCTTTTGATTTCTTCGCAAATCCTACACATGAGAATTAAAATGAGCATCTCTTAAGTAATACTTTTCAAAGCCTAGAATACTATTCATGAAAGCAATAATGTCCTTTCTTGCAGTTTGGCCCAGGAAGTAACAGATAAACGTTCTTTTACTAAGAAAAGATGAGTTACCCTTTCTAACTCCCAACATTTACTGCTGAGTTCAATACTAAGCATGGTGAAAATCACAAATTTTCATGTGGCAGGCAGACCTTGGAGCCCAGACTTGTGGCATGAAGTGTGACAGTTGGCTGAAACAGGTTTTAGGAGAACTATTTGCCCTGTGACCAAGGTGAATGTGAAGTCAGGGACTATTCTTGTGTCACAAATGTCCATTGCTTCCGATGACACAGACAACTGTCTGTTATTATACTTAGTCACGGAGAGGACAGTTTAGGAAGTAGACTCAGGGTTTTGTGATTTTTTTCTATACTCCAGAAGATAAAGGTCACTGTGAGAGAACATATATTACCTTCGTGTGTAAAAGGCAGGGTGTACAATATAATCTAGAGTAAAATATTTTACAGAGCGTAACAATTGCTATGAATCACCTTCCACACAACAGTTACAGATTAATCCTGTGCTGCAGCCTATTCTGATTACATGCCTGCGATTCGGTTACTCTTTTCATTTTGAGAAAGGTTCACTATTGATGGACAGTGTCACACATCCTGAGTCCCCGGAATCATCATATCCTAGAGGACCTATCAGGACAAACTAAACAGAGGGTGGATCAATGTTAACCCAGGTCTTATGGTGGATAGCAGCAACCAAATCTGTGAAGGCTAGCCATGTACTAAACACAGCACTCTACCTTCTCTATATAGAGTCGTCTAATTCAGAGAGCAGTCTTGCAGAAACCACCATGGCCTGCATCTCACAGATAAGGATACTGAACAGGAAAGTGGTTTGCATAAAGCCACTCAGCTAATGAATTTGAACCAAGGGGGTCTAACTTCGAAAGTCCGTTTTTTTTTTGGCAATTATGCTATATTGCATACAGGTATTAACAAAAGAACTAAAATCTTTATGTGTTACATCTTAGATCAGTATATATTTCCCACCACCTCCTGGGGTGTGTCTGTGTCCTGGAAATCAATTTATGAGTTATTCACTACTTTGTTCTAAGTAATACTTTGGAACCCATTTGTTGTTCCTAATTAATATATTTTCATCTTTTTTGCAGATAAATCATTTGATAGTTCACTACAGGCCAACTTAAGTCTCTCATTGTACCTCTGAAAATAATTGCTCATATAAAAGATGATGACAATCTAGCGAAGTAAGTGGCAAGTTCATTCAGAACGGAGGCTTCTGTGCTGTGGCTATAGATGATTCTGTCTTTCTTAAAGGCACACACCCAACCACTGTACATGATAACAGTCTTTGGCCAGTTTCGAATCCAATTGTTCACAGATGGGGAAATTACCAATCTTAGCAACAGGTAAATATTATCATTTAACTTATGATTCTTAAAATAGACTCAAGTTTTAGTCTAGCCTAATCACTAGGCTAGAAAAATTCTGTGCAAGATTCAAAGACCCCTGCAACCCTCACGTGATCTGCCAATGAAGTATGGCCCGCTTTGTTGTCTGCCAGTCTAGAAAAGCCTGTTCCCAGGATTTTTGTTGGTTTTATGGTTGGAGGGAGAATTGATTTCTCTGTACTTATAAATAGGAAAATAACTTACGTGAGATAGCAGAACTTGAGCGCTAGACAAAAGATGACTCCGGAGTTGCTAAACCTCAACTCGAGTGGACTCACCGGGCTGCTGCAGTGTTCGGAGCCATCTCCCGCCCTTCCTGGAATCTCTCTCTTAGGGCTGCTCATGTTACACTCGGCCTCCTTGACCAGGAAGAGCTGCTCGTCCAAAGCCTCCTTCTGCAGCTGGAGTTTCTGTACATAGCCTGTCTGCGTCTCCAGTTCTTTTTCCAGGGAAAAGATGATCCTGTCCTTGGCTTTGATTTCATCCATCTGAATTAAATGAGATCCAGGACATTTCACTATGTTGTATATAAATCCCATTTTCACTAGGGGAAGTCCTCCTCGTCTTGGGATGGTGGAAGGTGCTGTCCTTCCCTAGAGAGCTTGAAACGGTCTGGGTGGGTGAGGAAAGGTAAAATCTAAAATGGATCATTAGCTTTACGAAAGATAAATCCAAAACATTCCACTGTTTCTAGTGGACAAATAAATGATTACTGATTGATACTATTAGCCAATCATTTGCAACTGGAGAAACTGCAGGCTTCCTAGTACTGGTCTACTGATTTTCTAGTAAGTGTCAATTCTGGTGGCATCTGGAGGGGGTTCTTCCAGGAATTCCTGTTGTGTGGCCTTTCCTTTCCTCCCCACACTTCAAAGCAGTCAACCTTAGCAATCGTTCTACCATTACTGTTGGAAAAGCATCAGTGGGACCAGAATAGGGATTAAAAATGACTGTTAATTTTAGTCAAAATGTTTTTTTGTAAATTTGTGACATATAGTTATTGATTTCACCACTCTTTTCTGTGAAGCTTAGAAGTGGCCTCAAATGTCTTCATTTTCAATTTAAGGCACAGGTATCAGTGGATTAGAGTTCTACTGGACTGTAATCAGTTTGCTGTCCTTAGATGAGAAATATACCATACATGAAATGTCTGTAACCATGACACTGGGTGGAACCTTTCAGCACATTCTGTGTAGTTACTTAAAATGCAAATAAGAAAAGACATTTAGCACAAATGTCATTTTTCTTTCTCCTTTCTCATATTTAATGACTCACTTAGCGTGTTTCTTTGCTGTGCATTTTAGATGAGGAGGAGATCATAGAATCACCTGTTCGCGCAGTCCCTTGCTTTACACACGCTAATGCCTAGCTACTGACTCTAGGTCATGCGACTAAATTTTTGGCTAACATTGGGAGGTCTCTAATGTGCACTAATGTCTGCACTGTCCTGTAACAGCACCTGCTAACTGATGAGGGTTGTGATAGTGTCCTGTTGATTTGCAAGAGAATATCAGCCACATTTTCCTACTCCTTGAATATGGCTGAGGCGTGTGAAACTGAGTGCTCAATCACTTTTCAGATTGATATACACAATGTTTGCTGAAGTTTGATACAGCTCACAAACTGCCCCTTCCTGGTTGCTGGCAATGTCTTCTAGTTAGTGACAGATGCTAGGCTATCAGCTGATTAACACCCTCTTGGAGTTATCCTTACCGTCTCTAGTATTATAAATGAAATCTTCTCATCCTTACAGTATTGGAAGCATTGTAACTATGCAAGTTATTTCACTTTCTAAGAATGTCCTGCTCAGTAGGTTCCATAATCACCAGGTACCATGTGAGACCCTAAAAGGTTAAGTATTTGGTCATTGTCCCCTGCCTTGTGAATGATGAAGTCTTGATATTTTAACTTTGTCTTCTGAGCCTAGAGCCCATTTATCGGGCACTGTGCTACACTGGCTCCAAAATTATTGGCATCCCGCTGCCCCCAGATCTTTCCAAAATGGGGTCCTGTAGAATATCGAGCAATGAAGAGGCTCTGTTATACAGTGGTTGTGAACACATAACCTGATTCTCAGAATATTACAAAATTAACTAGTGCTCCATTTCATACATGAGAAGGAATACATTGCAGAATTCTTTGATGTTTTTTGGAAAGAACAGATCTCACCTCTTTCCCTACAGGCCCCAAAGTACATATGGGGGTGAGGGTAGGGGTAGGAAAGGAAGATGAGAAAGTGGAGACAGGGACATGTACATTAAAGAAACACCCCCCCCCACCTGAGTCTGCTTGTACCCAATGTTTGAGCCACTCTTTGGATGGCTTAGATTTCAGGTGGTTGTTTAGCAGACTCTTGTGTCTACCTTAGCGGTGTTCTTGGGAAGAAGTAATGGGGAAATCATGACCAATTGGTAGATTTACACTGAAAGCAACAATATTTACTTCGAGGCTTTCTTTTAACTCACCTACCTGACTGCTCCACACTGCAGAGTCTTGAATCCTTCTTCGTCAACCACAGTCATCTCAGAAACCAAAAGCAGAACAGAGACCACTATTTCTGCTCTGCCTTTGGCCTTGGTTGTCAAACAGAACAAACTGCAGTACATCCCCCAGGACGCATGGCAGAGGCAGCATCTCACAGTTACATCACACCACATCAGTAAGAAAACGATACATGCTTAACCTGTAAACTCTTCTATGGGAACCACTAAAAGTAGAAATCCCGGAGACATCATCCAGAGCATGAAGTGAAATTCCTGGAGATGGTTACTGAGGGTTGGCAGACACAGAGGGAGAGAATAGTTTTTCCTGAACAGCTTAGAGCAGTGCTTCTCAACCTGTGGGTCACGACCCAGTTTTTTTGGGGGGGGGGTTGAACCAACCCTTTCACAGAGGTCGCATATCAAATATCCTACATATCAGATATTTACATTGCGATTCATCACAGTAGCAAAATTACAGTTATGAAGTAGCAACAAAATAACTTTTTGTTTGGAGATCATGACAGCATGAGGAACTGTATTAAAGAGTCGAAGCATTAAGAAGGTTGAGAACCACTGGCTTAGAGAAATGGTATTAAATACATTCTAAATGGTTTAAGCTAATCCTCAACTTTTGTACAAACATAATAGAAATTTTCCTTCTAAGATAATGGCACCTAGGACATTACAGCTCATAGACCATGCATTAATTTATTAATTTATTCGTTTTAGCATTATGAGACATCTGTATGGTTGTTGGCTTTGCAAATTAAAAACCAAAGCCCAAAAGAAACCAACCAAACAAAAACTAATTCTGTGTGGATTGAACTAAAAAATACTGTAACAGCAAGTAAACTATGTGTGAATGACACCCATCTAAAAACCAGAATGGCTCGTAACAAATAGTCCCTGATTATTGGGGGAAAGAAACCCATTTTATAAATGACCAGGGATTTTTTAGCTCCATGTTTGTGCTGATGAATCATTTAGGATGTTTTCATGTTTTCAGTGGCCACTTTCAGACAAATTGTGGCACAAAGCAAGCTAAGGTTGGAATGGCTTGTACTTTCCAATCTTTCATGGAATACTCAAGAACACAGGTTGCTGCATGGACACCTGGGCACCCAGGAGAAGGCACTTACTATGAAAATGGGGACTGTAAAATCGCTTACATTTTACAATTCCAATTTCTACCCAACTACCTATCATTCTACCTTGCGTTTTGGATAGCGCAGCCTGCCGAAGTGGGGGTGTTTGTCTATGGTAACTGTCGAGGGGACACCCAGCAAAGCAAATCACACTGAGCTCTGGCAGAGACTGGTTTCTGCCCAGCTCTCATTATTACTGACCAGCCTCCGAATGTCCCGTTCCGACTCCCACTTGATCTTCGAGATGGCTTCCTGGTGGGACTGATGCTCACTCCTAAGGTCCCCAGCCTTGATTTTATCCGCTTGGATCATATTGCTCAGCGCCTCGTCCACCTGCTTCTTGGCTGTTTTCAGGTCTGTGATTTCCTGCAAGAGCTTCAAGCGCTCTGCATCGAACTGTTTCCGGGCCTCCTCCCGGGCCTCAATGGTGAGTGCTGTCCTTACTTTGTCGCTACTGCCGTCCCGGAGAGCGCACAGAGCGGACTTGAGTCTCTGGATCTCCCCATCCCGCACCTTTACTGTCCTTGACATTTCCTGCTCATGCTGCTTGATGAGGTTCTCTCTCACCGCCTGCAGCTCCTTCATCTTTTCCTCATGGAGCTTGGCTTTGAGCTCTGTCACCAGGACCGTGTGTTTGCGCTGCTCCAACTCGCGAATCCGCTTTGCTTCTTGAGTCTTTTCTCTTTCAAGCTTTGATACCTAGAGGCAGAGGGGTAAAAAGGATGCAAAAGCATGAGCCTCAAAGAGAACTCGTGCTTCCAGGCAGGATCTTGCAGCTTACTCTGCTATGATCTCTTAATACCTTATTTATTTAAAAAAAAAAAAAATCCAAGCTGCTGTGTGCTCAGAGGAAAAGGAAGTACCGGCCTTAAAGCAGAGACTATGGTGTGGAAAACAGGGAAACATCTAATATGTTTATCTTAGCGTGTTCAGACAATACTTGATGTTCCCGGGCCTTGTTAAATAGCATGTGGTCCATGGATTAGCAGCTCCAGAGACACCCAGAAGCTAGTGAGAATTGTAGATTCTCCAGTTCCCCACCTAACCCATAAATCAGAATGCGCCTTTTAACAATTCCCCAGGCAACTGGTTTACCCAGTCAAACTGGGAAGCTTTGCTGGAGTGGTTCTCCCATTGGTGGAGAAGATTTTACAGCTACCACCGGCACAAGCCTGGCTCCACCCAAACCAATACATGTGGGCATCTCTGGATAGCTCAAAGGCTGATAGTGTAAGAAGGCAAACAAATGGGTGCAAATGTTATTATATGATGCCCCACTTTATCATGTGGGATGGGACGTGCTTGTGGAGTACAGACTGCTGACAACGGAGGTTAAAAAGATATTAAGATTAACCGGGTGGTGGTACCGCACACCTTTAATCCCAGCACTCAGGAGGCGGAGGCAGGTGGATATCTTTGAGTTTGAGGCCAACCTGGTCCACAAGAGCTAGTTCTGAACAGGCTCCAAAGCTATAGAGAAACCCTGTCTCGTGAAACCAACTAACCAACCAACCAAACAAAAGATTGTTATAGTAACAATGACTTTGTCTTTTTATAGTAGTCACGTTCCATTCTCCAACTTGTTGTATATAGTCATATACATACACACAAGGCAGCCAATTAGCTGACACCTCCAAAGTCTGTTGGGTTCTGCTCTGATTACAGGGCTTTAGGGACGCTACAGGAGGTCTCTTACTGTCATTCTCTAGGCTCTCTTATCCCTTGACCTTACTGCCACCCAAGCCAAACACTTCACGTAGTGTAAGAATTCCTTCTAATCTTTCCGCCTTCCAAGAATTCAGCTGGAAATCATCTCCTGGGTGTCCTTACATTTCCAGTGACATTGTTAGTTCTCCTGGCAGGTGTGTACAACCTAACTCTCTGATTTAACGGGTTGCTGGGATGTGGTGGCTGGCCACCTGGGTAGCAGGAAAAGGTCCCTCTGTGATCCTGTGCAATTCCCTCCTCCACTCAGTTCCTTTTGTCACCTGCCTATGTCTTCTACCCCATTTCCTTCACACACACACACACACACACACACACACACACACACACGAGAGAGAGAGAGAGAGAGAGAGAGAGAGAGAGAGACAGAGAGACAGAGAGACAGAGAGACAGAGAGACAGAGACAGAATTTGAGAAAGTGAAGACAATTTGGAAGCCCCAGGGGCATACCTAGTGATTAATTACTTAGATAGCCTCCACCGCTTCTCCAGTTGGAAAGGTTTAATAATGATATATTTTCAATTTTTATTGAAAATAGCTCTTTTCCCATGCAATATATTCTGATTGTGGTTTCCCCTCTCCCAAAATTTGAGAGATTTTTCAACCTAGCAGTGTTTGAAAAGTCAAAGCCCCTTTTAAAGTGGTCGAAACTACAGTATAGAGAGCCTGGGGGATACACTTACCTCAGCCACTTACCTAGCGCCAGCTAGAGCAGTATTTTCTAAATGAAGTAATGTTTGGAGAACATGTTATTGTTTTAAAGGTACTATAATTAATCTCACAGTGGTTATCCTGTAAGGGTGGAGAACCCGAGAGGACTTGGTAAAGCAGTTGTGAGCCGTGTTCAGATGGCTATGCTGAACCCTTGCAATATTGTAAACTTGAAATTTGCTCCATGTGCAAAATATACTCCAGATTTTGATGATTTGTCACGAGACAGAGTTTCTTGTTAGTCCTTTTTAAATAGCTGTATGCTGAAATGGTGCTATTTTATATGACTTAAGTTAAACTTTTTAGGGAAAGCAATCGATCCCTTTCACTTGTGAAAATTTCATTCATAAGAAAATTTATCAAAGGTCACGTATCTGGTATGCAGAGTCCACCATCCATTTCTTTTGGCCAGTGTTGCCCCAGAGTTCATTGGGGTTCATTTGGAAAACTTGACTTCCTTTATGCTGCTAGTGATGGTCTCTCAGGAGACTCCCATCCTGGCAGGACTGCAGTATCTGTCCTAAGCCTGGAGGCTCCTCCACACTGAGGATAGAATCCCTATACTTCAGCCTTGCCAATCAAGCCCCTTCGCAGGTTGGCTTGGAGGACTTCCTTCCTCCTTCCCCTCACCCCCCCCCCCCCCAGATACAAGAGAATATGCTATTTTCTGCTCCTGGTTTATATTTGTACCTGTCTGCCTTCACTTCCTTTTCCCTGGTGGCCCTTCCCTTGACTCTCTGTGGAAATCTCACATTCCTCCTGGCCCAGCTACTTACCCTCCTTTCCTGTCATGTGACCTAATGGCCTAGGATTATGCTCAGGCCAACTGCCTTTCTCTGTCTTCTCTGTGCACTCTCTTGGTCCTTAGTGTATTTTCCTTCATGTTACAGGTTGTGTGCACGCTGCTCTCTCACCTGCACCTGCTCTTATCCTGCCCCCGAGTGGCAACTCCGACGAGACTACCGCTGTATATCCGCTGATTGCTGGCACAGCACACTAATGAACAAGAAGGCACAGGTGCAATTAAAGGCCATATGCCATTGTTTCCTAGCTAGCCCCGAAAGCAGAGTCATGAATAATAAGCCCTGTCATACAGTTTGCAAAACATAGGCTTAGGGAGTTCCCAGCATAACTCTGTATCCACTCATCCCTTGGAAGACACTACAGTAAATCACAGAATCTCTAACATCTAAGAATTAGAATGACTATCTCTGTCTTGAATCTCTCTCTCTCTCTCCCTCTCTCTCTCTCTCTCTCAGTTATTTCGAGACAGTGTTTCTGCTTTTTGTTGTGCTTTTTGTTTGTTTTGTTTTGTTTTGCTTTTTGTTAGCTCTGCCTGTGCTGGAACTCAATCTGGAGACCAGGTTGGTCTTGAACTTATAGAGCTCCGCTTGCCTTTGCCTCCTAAATGATGTGATTACAGACATGCACCGCCATTGTTAGGCTGCCTCTCTGTTCTTGACAATCTAGATCTTGTTCTCACCTTTCTAGAGTAAACAGAAAATGATGCCTTCCAGGAAGGAGGTGAGGAAACTAGAGCCCGTAAGCCAAACTGTCTGTCTTTATGATTAAAGGTCTGTTGGCAAACAGCCATGACTGTCCAGTCACACATTACTTAGGGCTGCTTTCATGATACAGTGATTGAGCTCTCTCAGAGACTGTCTGGCTCACAACCCTCAAATATTTAGTGTTTTCCACTTTGTAGGAAGGTTTGTTGATTTCTGGTCTAGATAATGTATTTATTTTTAGTGGAAGGGATTTTTTTTTCTAATTTAGAAGTTGAGTTTAGCTCGCATAGAAGACATTAGAAATATGTCTTTAACTTGAGTGGTGAGAATTTGGGTCTCCTCAGTCTTAGCAGTAAGCGGTAGCATTGGGAAGAGCGACATTACCACAATGTCACAGGGTCACAAGGGAAACACTTCACAGGACAGTGACAAACAATAATAAACAGGGACAAAGAGTAAGGTGTTCTGGGTTTCCGTTCTGTATCGCCAGCTAAGAAAAGTGTTCAAAAAATGCCTGTAATAGATGTTTCCAAGACTCAGTTGCAAATGCATGGGAAAATGACTTAATGTAAAGCCCTGTGGTATAGAGAGCAATAGTAGCTATGACAGGAAACGCTCCACCCTAAACGACTTATGTCAGATTCTCTCGAGGTGCTTAACATAGCATCTCCTTGTGATTCTGTCTGGGGCTGTGTTGTTTCTCTCGGATTATAAATAGTAATCTTTCATGCGTGTTGGAAGGAAAGGAGATTAAAAGAAGAAAAAAGTTAGGCTATGAAAATACAGCTGTGTGGAGAATATATTCCAACCCATGGAGCAAACTAACAGAAACAGAAGCTGGCCATGGTGCCAATCACTCGGGGGAATTCACAAAACAAAGAAACGGTTCACATTTGTTCCAGTTGCCATGGAAACTGCCGTTATTTGCAGGATTTCTTGACATGACTTGTTTGTTTCCCCTTGAAACTCCTTCGGGGAAAGTGTTTCACTTTGAGGGGGAGCCAAAAAATGTGATTTGGGGGATGGACGTGAGAGGCCATCACAGTTGTGTGGCAAGGTCTCTTTCTGGATTCATTCAGACAGACTTGGGCATTAAGGCAGAAGATTTAAATACTTTAATACAAATCTTGAGATGCAAGATGACACAAAACAGCTATTGCTGAGTAGAAATGTAAATACGAGCATGAAGATATTTAGAAATTGGAAATTATTTAATAAATAAAAATGATTTTGAACAGTGAGGGTGTTTTGCAGCAAGAGCTTAGGCTCAGTCGTAAATGTGCTGGTATTCTGTGTATTTTACTGTCGTAAATGTGCTGGTATTCTGTGTATTTTACTGTCGTGAATGTGCTGGTATTCTGTGTATTTTACTGTCGTAAATGTGCTGGTATTCTGTGTATTTTACTGTCGTAAATGTGCTGGTATTCTGTGTATTTTACTGCAATTGGCCCTGTTCGAAATAGGCATTGCACGTATTAGTTCATCCAGCCTCCAGGCCAGCCCTGTGGTATTTGCTTCCGCACGGTTTCAGGGGAGACAGTAAGGAACAGTCTCTACATGAGCACATCAATTAGGCCGGTGTGGCCAAGAGCCAAGTCCAGCCTACAGCCTACAGCCCAGGCCTGACTCCTCTCAAACTTCCGGCAAACTCCTTTCCTTCTGTCGGCCTTTTTTTTCCCATTGGCATATTGGGATGATGTTCTCTTTCTCATCTGGTTGTGGTGAAGATGACTCAATATGTATCAAAAGCGAGTGACTAAGCACCAGTAGATACTATCACGTTCATTTTGAAAATATTGTTGCATATGGTGATATATTATACAGTGTTATATCAAGCCACCCCCAACAAAAATGCAAATGACCATAATGGATGACTAACATTGCAATACCACATCAAGACTGTAGTAACTGTTTCCCAACAGAAAGGAATGTCCAGAGAAAAAGAATGTCCAGGTTTCCCTGGGATGCATTGAGTTCCCTGCTGTTGGTGACGTAGGGTCTTAACTTGGAACACACTGGGAATGCACATTGCCATAAAGAGTTGGGTGGGGGAGAAGAGGCAAGGACAAGGGGCACGGAACAAGGCTGTGAAGATGAACTTTCAAATCCTTTCTGCCCTCAGGATTCTATGGGAAGAAGAGAGCACTAAGAAAATCTAATCCCTGTGTTAATGGTTTCAGTGGGACACAAGGAAAAGGAGTCCTGACCGCTTTATGCAGAGCTCACGCTGTTTGCCGTCCATAATTCTAGTCTGGCCTTTGGAAGTGCCCGTGTAAATTGTGCCAAGATAAGCCTGGCAGTGATGGGAGTTTTAATGCACTCTTAGAAGTCCAGGATTAAAAATCACAGCTGAGTTAAGGGTGAGGAAAGAGCGGTGGGTTATCTTGGGGAGTCAAGCTCTCAGGAGCTGAGGCTCGGATTATCTGCTTTGCATGTTCCTGGAGAATAAATTCCGTCAACCAGCGGGAATTATCACCTGAGCCTAGGGACTTTCAGACACAAGGGTTCAGAGGGGAAACTGCAGCAAGCAGGCAGCTATTATGGGAAACCTTTGAAGACCTGGGGGAGCAATCCCTGCTTCCCTTCCTCTTCCCCCTCCCCTTCCATTGTCCCTCCCCTTCTCTCTTCCCTCCCTTCCCTCTTCTTTAGAATCTTGAAAACAGCAGCAGAGGTCCAGAAAGGAAAGAATACCACACTCCGGATCTGAGCCTCAAACCAGAAGCTCTGAGGACGGAGGATGAAGAAGGTCAGGTGTGGTTTTTCAGGGGTGGTGGTGGGAATGGGCAGAGGTTAGGTGTCCAAGCATTCTCTTGACCTCCTCTATTTCCTAGAAGAAAATTGCCATTTTGGAGCCTCCACGGCTGCCATCAGAAAGCGAGTGAGTTGCGCATAAGGAAACTCATTTTCGTCCCTCAGTAAAATCAAAAGGGGAACCACAGGATGCCCTTGCCCCAAACATGGTGTGAGGACCACGAGGCCATGTGCCACATGCTTTGCAGTCTGAGGGACTGCGTCCATTGGCTGCTTCTATTTCTATTTGAAATCACTGATTCCTAAACCCTGCACCCTAGGCTGGCCGCAGCCTGTTCCTCATAACCCTGACCTCTGCTCCATCCCTTCATCCCTTTTGTCACCTCGCCCATTCTGCTCAGTAACACTGTATTCCAGCTCTGAAGGCACATTCCCTGGAGAAGCCAGTGGGTGAGTTTCTTGTCTCATAGCAAGCCACAGTGAGCATGGCATCCACAGACAGGAAAATAGTCGCGTACTTAGTAGCTGAAGAGTACTGGTTCAGCCGGGCCGTGGTGGCGCGGGTCTTTAATGGCAGTACTCAGGAGGAAGAGGCAGGTAGATCTCTGTGAGTTTGAGGCCAGACTGGTCTACAAAGTGAGTTCTAGGACAGCCAGGGCTGTTACACAGAGAAACCCTGTCTCAAAAAAACCAACCAAGCAAACAACAACAAAAAACCCCACACAAACAAACCAACAACAACAACAACAAAACAAAAACAAAAACAAAAACAAAAGCAGGAACGAAAACAAGAATGCTGGATCAAAGAAAAGACAAGCCTTTCTTACTCCAGCCTGAGTTTTCTTTTCCAAATACTACAATAGTGATGCTAGCGCAGAGATGTCAGGAAAGCATTTGAAGAGTCATACAGATTCTTTTAGTAAGCAGTTTGGAGCACCGCCTACACACCAGGTGGGTACTCTCTTCATACAGATGGAAATAAGAACAATGCCTACCTGAAAAGGAGGAACTGAGAATCAGATAAGATAATGGCATAGCTCCCTTTCCAGTGTGATGCCAACTGACTCCTCTCACCTGCCATCCCTCCTTCCCACACTCATCTGGAGCAGGCACCCCTGCAGTGCCTCTTGACAGGCGAGGGCAAGAAAGCAGAGAGGGATGGGAAGACCAGCTCAGGGTCAGCCGGGTGCTGAGTGTCAGAGCTGGGACTGAGAAGGGATGTAGTGCGCATGTTGTAGCGTGTGATAGATAGCGTACACCGGGCAAGTCGTAGCTAGCTATTTATAGAATCGACCAAAGCCTTTACAATGGGCTCTGTTCGCTTCACACGGGGCATTCTGTAAATGCCAATAGCATTATGTGATTTGCTGGGAAAATGAGTAATGGCCCACCAGCCTGAAGGTTTTCAGGCTTTACTCTATTCCCTCCCAATAGCTGAGTTGTCATTTTATCAGAAGGGCCTCGGGGCTAAGCCGAGAGTGTAAATTCATGCCTTGGCTTTGATCATTCTCTCCCCTAGAGCCTGCTCTTTGAAAACACCATCATATTTATCTATAATGAAATTGCTTTGTGATTCGTTTGCCCTCTGCTGTCCCTCCGGTGCACACTGGCTTTGCCCAGCGCACAGCCTGCATTGAGGTTGTAACTAACTATAAGCGGAGGGGAGGAGGGAAGGCAGGAGAGGGGTGAGAAGAAACGTTCTTGTCTAAGAGGCCTACTGCCAGAGCCTAGTCAGAGGAAGCGGGCGGGGATGGCGCATGGCTGCCAGTGTGGATGCTGTTCCAGATGCTGGAAGACAGGCAGCTGCATTCGAACTCAAGAGTGTCCATTTTTAAAAAGCTGAGATGTGTGGGACGCTGGGATACTGGCAGTGGTGGGATCTCTTTTGGAATCTTGAGGTTTTTGTTTTTCTCTCCTAAGCATCCCTGTAATCATCATTCCTCATTTACTAAGAGGAGCCTGGCTCCCTGCAGATGTTACTTTGCCCCAGGGAAAATGAAACTAAATGGACCAGACAGTGTCAGGACCGGGAAGAGCTCTTCCAGTGAAAACTAATCCTCAAGATGGAGCCCCCTTATCCGAATGGCCTATGCTGTTCCTTCCACCGCCTACTTAACCCAAATCCTTGACTTGTGGGTTCAGGAACCTCAATTTCCCCCGGGCTCTCCCAGGTTGTTCTCTTGCAGAGTAATGTGTGGGAGACGGCTGTGCGGGAAAAGAACCAGTCATCAAAATGACAACTAGGAATACTGACACACCTAGGTCTCTTTCCAAGAAGAAGAAAAAAACAATGCCTAGAATTTCTGATTCACAAATTAATGCCTTTTAAGAGTTAGAACATGCTTCCCTTTGTTCATGGGGATAAAGGTTTGTCCTTCACAAACTTCACATTTCTGTTTACTAAAACCGGCCAAACTTAGTTGACATAGGAAGAAATAGCCTCCAACTGATTCTGAGTCCATTTATTATTTTCTTTGAAATGGAGTAAAATACGTTTGGGGTAAGATTAAATTTCTACAGTGATAGAAGAGAATGCTGAAACACTGAAATAAGACATTTGTCACTCTGTGATCAAGAATGTTCTTAGAATAACAGTTATTGAAATGATGCCATTTTATATTGATGTGGTTGTCTCTGGGCTGCAGGCATCGAAGCCCATGATTCTAAGGAATTGCTGAGTTTGATGCACATGAAGACGGCCAGGGCTGGCGGGAGCCATGACCCCCAGCAGCCCCTACTCACCTTGGACTTCTCTTGGTGCAGCTCTATCTGGATGTCTGTTAGTTTGGTCCTGAGGTCTTCGTTGGCAGCTTGAAGGGCGACAATGAGTGCCTCGGGCTTCTCGCCCTTATTTCGTCCCTTCTTGGACATTGTTCCTTTCTAAACGGAGACTTTTGGGGTTTAGTCCTCTCAAATGGGCACTGCCATGTTACTCTTTCATTTCCCGGAGTGAGATGTTGCAGCAACTACTGCGTGGTGTTCCTTGTTAAGGTCTTCTCAGTCGTTGCCCCGGAAGCCCTAGGGAGAGACAGAGACCAGAGTGACTCTTTGGTGAGGAATGAATTTGTGCCAGTTTATCCACTCCCAGCCAGAGTGGCCGAAAATGCCATCTCCTGAGGCCCTCCTGTCTCCAGAACCTCCTCTATGCTATATTTTGTATCTAACTCACAGTGACGCTTCCAATTACATTGCCATCTGCTTAGGATCCGTTACCTAAAACACATGTATTTCACATTGCCTGGTGCTGTTCTTGGGAACACCAACCCATTATTCTGTCTTCCTCCATGTCACTCAATGGTAGTGTGTGCATGAAAGTCCTTAAAGAAAGGCACACATGGAGATATTCTAGTACTCAAAAATAGGAAAGTACTACATATTGTTCAATAGTTAAGATTTGAACAGTAGGGAGTAACTAAGTGGATTTCTGGATTGAATCACTCACTCAGTTAATATTGCTATAGTTACTTTAAACTGATTTTCTAGTACAATATGTTTCTTTTTAAGTTCTATGACAGAAAAATAAGTTAACTCCCCATTTACTTGCTACCCATCACCTATCTACTTAACTTCTATCTCCCTATCTCTATCTGTTTGTCTGTCTGTCTGTCTATCTATCTATCTATCTATCTATCTATCTATCTATCTATCTATCT